TTCAATTTTGTTGTTGCTGGGGGAAGAATATGTAAAAATATGCAAAAGGGTAATCAACCAACTAACATGAACAGAGTGAAGCATTGAATAGAATACATTCCTGTAAACTTTCAAAAAAAGAAAGAAAAGGAAACATGCAACATGAATCAAGACTAATGTCTTCACCCTGTGACTCCTATCAAGGCTTGAAGGAAAACTTGACACCAACATGCCTGTACAAAAATAAACAAACATAACCCTTGACTCGTCAGGGTCGTGGAGGTGTACTGATGGAAGCACTCGCAGATAAAACCCGCCATCTCTCTCTGTCTTTTGATTGATGAATAATTGTATAACTTAGTCATGTCCGTTTCTTGATGTTGTCATTTTAGGTTCTTCTTTGCCCTCCTCTTCATCGACTAACCCCAATGTTCCTTGAAGTACAGTCTTAGTAATCCAATCATGTCTCACTACATGCTCAAACCAAGCTAGCTTGCGAAGTTTCACCACTGCCAAGAGAGGCTCCTGATGTCCCGCAAATTTGTATGTTTTGTCTCCGACATATTTATTAGTTTTGTGTTCTAAGTAACTAATTCATAAAATGTGACTGTAGCATTTACATTCGGAAGCCTGAATCCTTCTTTTCATTTCCACATTGAGAGTCCAACTCCCACATCCGTATAAGAAAATAGACAACACCAGTGATTTGTAAATATCGACATTGACACAGATGCTGATTTTGCTCTTCCACATCGTATTCAGCTGCAATATTGCAGCTGTTGCCATATCAAGTCTTCTCTTGATCTCTTTGGTAGAGCCGCCATCATCTGGTTACAGCTGCCATCGTTGCACATGTGGGAGCCAAGATATTGAGAGAAAAAACATGCCTGTACATAAACCACTGGTGTCTAAGTGTTATTCTAAGTTACTATATTCATATCCTGGCCTGTTAAACACGGCACAGGCCCACAGAGTACCAATATGTTTTAACTAAGCTTTTTAAGAACAGGTCACTGTAGACATGACGACATGTATCTGCATTTACGGGATCATGTGACAACCAAAAGAGACTAGATTTAGTCTTCTCGGGGCAAGATGGGTTACGTAGTAAATGTCCGGATAGGAGGAGGTAATACAAAACCCTTAACCCATTAGGGTCGTGGAGGTGCATTAATGGAAGCACTAGCACATAAAACCTGCCATCTTTTTCTGCTGGAATAAGTGAGACAGGAAGAGATAATACAGTAATACAGAAGCAGTCTAACTCAATCAGTACCAAGCAACTCATCCAACGGCCATATACTGTATTTCATGGAAGCAACCGCTATAAACATGTTTAGAACAAAATTATGCAAATTTACAAGGTCATCAATCTGCATTTGCCCCGGTGAAATAGGCAGATACTTGAGAATGTAATTGATTTTGTGTTTTAATTAGAAGGATTAATTTATTTGCTTCATTTTAATTGTGGTAGTAGGCACCTGATGAGATACAGTGAAATATGCCAGGCAGTAAATTGTCTGTGTCTTCTTTGTTTAAACCCCTCATACGTTTGTGAGTTTATGCTCTTTTTTAACTCTTTGTGAGGTATCCAAGTGTTTTATCAACACCTGCTTCAGTTATCTATTTTGATCCATCATGTTATTATTATGCTTATTACAAACACATAACAAGTGATGCCAAATTAGCACTATCCCATACAGTTTTTTTTACCACTCGAGGTTAGGAAAAAAATTCTTGCAAGCTATACAGAGCCAGTTTTGTGAATCCTGGACAATTAATAAACAAGCCAAACAATTTCTTGAGGCCTCGGAGATGTGGTTTTATAGAAGAATCCTTAGAATTCCTTAGACGGCCAAACAGAGCAACCCAGATGTTTTGAAAGAGGCGAGGGCTCGAAGACAGCTTATCACAGACATCAGAAGGAGACAGTCATAATTTTTTGTTCATGTTATGAGAAGAGGAAAATGGAACATGCTGTAACCCCTGGAAAGATCTGTGGAAAGAGAGACAGAGGAAGACAGTGCGAGAAGATTCATAACAGCTTTTTGTCATGGCAGGGGTACATGAACTGTTACACGCAGCTGAGGATCGAAGATTGTAGAGAGGCATGATCCCCCACGCCAGTTGGCAAGGCACTTGATGATGATGATTTTTACCCGCACTGTGTTACCAGTGCCTAAAGTGGACGTTGCTAACAAAAAGAAAAATCAAAACAATAGACAAGAAATGTCTATGAACAATCCTAAATGCCTAGATCAGACATGATGATATCAGGAAACAAGTTGAGACGGAACCAGTACTAAACAACATCAAAAGAAAACAGATCAAATGGTTCGAACATGTGTCAACACCAGACAGTGCACCTCATAGAGACTTGTCACTCAGATACAAGGGAAGCAGACCTAGAGTCGGATCAGTAGGTCATGGATAGATGGAGTTTCCGAGGTCATAATTACCAGCATCTATGTATCAGATATCAAGGCTGGCATCCAATGACTCTTCAAAACCACGCTGCTGAAAGGCAGAACAAGACTAGAGGAGAAAGAGGAAAAGAAGTGATGTTTTTATTTTTAGCTTCTCTGACTTTTAATTGTTTTTCTAGTTTGGTAATGGATATTTGTATGTATAAATTATTTTTGATTGTTTAACAGTGCATAAGACAGCTATTGATTCTATGGAGACAGTCCGGCTATAGAGAATAAGTGATAATGCATTAAGTTGACTTTGAAACGCATCACTTGGGGGAACATGTTTTCCCCTCAGTGAGGCCATGAATGGGGTTACGAGAAACTAGCATTGCTGGGGTGGCATGACCCAGAATATGGCGAACCAATCAGACAACGGCTAAACAGCAGATTGGATGAAGCTGGATCAAGGGCGTGCAACAACATGACTAAGAACGCAGGTGGATCGTCTTCCTGAGACCAGGGTGGCTCCGGGGGAAGTAATCTTAGTGACAACCCAGATGGGGCATGTGTAATCAGTGGTAAACCTCTGTGTTCTTTATTTTTGGCATGACACAGTCGCACAACATGAGAACAAAACCTGGCAGTCACAACCCAGGTTGGCCTATCTCCAGAGAGAGTAAGGAAGGTAAAAGGGCTGAAAGGGGGAACTTCTTTTAACATTCAGAAGATTCCTGTTGCGCTCGCTCCTCCTCTACTACATGCACTGCCATGGTTCCATTTAACTGAAAGTCCAGTAGTTTATAATGAATTCCTAACTGAAATAAATGACTGAGGATTTATATGGGCAAGAAAGGCAAATCAAATGGAAATTTATAGACCTACACAAGTTTGTTATTTGTATGTCTTCCTAAACCAGTTTTATTCAACTTCCTTTTTTTTTTTTTCACAATTCATATTAAAATTTAAAGCAATGTACAGCTTGCATGAACACATCTATTGGTAAAAACACTTTTCAAATTTGTAACAGCTTCATGTATTTACACAAAGTTGTACATATGTATGCTTGCTATAAACTTTTTACAAGACAAGGACTACCTCCCCAACCACAAGTCATATGCTTACCAATTATTATTTACACGTAAGATTCTCTTCGTGTTAAATCTACGTATTCTTCTGAACATATAACATGTACAAAGAATAATTATGGTAGTCAATATTACTTTCAAAGAAAAATAATAAATAACACATATCTGTACCCTCTGCAAACTATAATTAAAATCAAGACTGTTTACCTTAGTCTTCACCTTTGTTTTAGAATGTCATATTTACTGTCATTTTCAAAATGAATCTAAAATCCTATCCGTGATTAGCAAATATCAGACCCCAAAAAAACTGATAACAGACTGGTTTTCTACATCTTAAAATGCTTACTTGGTTCCACTGAACATAACCTTTAAATAATATCCTGCTACTATGCAGGAAATTTTCACATGAAATAAATTTAAAATAATAAAAGACAAAAGTTGTATACGCTTTTTCGCTCTCATTCATATTCTCTTTCAAGTAAATTCAAACTATTGTTACTGCGACATATAATTATGTTTTATATGTCTGCCTCGAAAACTTCCATACTAAAGCTTCATTTACTTTTTCACTTTTCAATCTCTCAATTCTCCTGCAGCTAAAATTCTACTTGAATTAAATGAAAAATGCATTTGACACTCTCGCTCACTTTCTTCTCCTTCTTTAGCATTCCGAGCCCTTGGCGTTCATTGCTGCAGATATCACCTGCCTCCTTTCATTTCTCTGGTTGGCCTTCTCTTTCCAGTTGGTGACACCAAGTGTTTGCAGGTCTGTCTGGACATTATCTCTCCATTGTCTTCTTGGTCTGCCTCGTGGTCTACGTCCATTCATGTCCTTTGTGTATACAGTATTCACTTCTCTGTCATCTGACATTCTTTCAATGTGCCCCAACCATTTCAGTCTATTAGCTCTCATGATACCAGTGATCAGTGGTGATTTAAATAGATTATGAATATCATTTTTGCTTTTAACTCTCCATTCCCCGATGTTTGCATCTTTGATGGGTCCAAAGATTCGTCTCACTCACTTTGCACTGCAAAATTTTACACTGAAATAAAATGATACCCAGCATTTTTGAATATATTTGAATAAAGTGTATGGGAGAATGCTAATACTGACAGATATTGTGACTGCTAAATACAAAATTGTAAGGCATTTTCTTTCTGTAGCATAAAAAGATAACCATCAAACATTGACGGTTCCTCCATTACATCAAATAAATCTGTGGTTCTTCCATTTCATCAAAATAATCCCTGGTTCTTCCATTACAATTTTAAAAAAAATTACTAGTTCTTTCACTGATTCAAAATAATCTCTGGTATTTACATTATATTTACATAATTCCCAGTTCTCCAATTACATCAAAATAATCCCTGGTTCTTCCACTAACTCAAAAAATAATGCCTGGTTCTTCCATTACATTAAAATAATCCCTAACACATTTCACCTTGTAATTACTGCACATTTAAAAACTCTTCTTTTACAAATGTCATTTAAAAAATTATTCCCTATGAAACTGCAGTTGGTTCAGCCGGACAGCTGTTTGTATTCATCACTTCCTCCTACATCCACTGGGGAAGTCACAAGCTGTGACTTTTCTCCACCATTCCGGTCTCCGGAGGCAACATAAGGCTTTAATTGTTCCAGCAACTGTACAAAGGTTGGTCGACTTTCAGGAGACTTTGTCCAACACCTCAACATAATCTGGTATCTGAAAGAGAGAGAGAAAATTGCAGACAAATTCAGTATTGGCTTTAGACAGAAAGAGCAGAGTGGCAGACATAAATAAAGACAAAAAGACACTGTGAGAGAAAGGCAGTAAGATAAATTAGATGGTTTTCTAATGAGCCTTTTTAACTTCCATATTTGTGACCCAGCCACACCTGAGCCTTTGTAGACTGAGCAATGAGAAAACTGGTAAAACCTGCTTCTTCCAATACCTCAGTGTTTGTGATCTGGTCCTGCCACTTAATGCCAAGTATTCTTCTTAGGCATCGCATGTGAAAGCTTTTTTCTCGAGGTGCGAAAAAGGTGACCAAGTTTCACTGACATAAAGCTGAGTGCTGAAAACAAAAGTCTGACAGACAAGAGTTTGTGTTTTAATTTTGAGCTTTCTGTTTCCTCAACTCTTTTTGTTAATCTGCTCATTGTTTTTCCTGCTTTACCAATCCTGTGTTGAATTCTCCATATAGTGATGGTCTGTTATTCACTGTGGATCCCAGACAAGTAAAATGGTCAACTGTCTCCAGCTCTTCACCATCACTGTAGGCGGCAGGTCTGAATTAACACCTTGCACCACAATCTTTGTCTTCTTTTAGCTGACTGTTAGTCCAAATTCACAGCATGCATCAGCAAATGTAGAAACAAAAACACTGTAGCTCCTCCTCTGAGTGGTAATTGCTGCATCATCTGCAGACATCAGCTCCCTGATAAGTACTTTTCTTATTCTGGTTTTTTTTAGCCTACGAGCATTGTAAAGACTACCGCCAGACTGAGAATAAACGAATATACCGCCTTCCTGATCTCGAGGGGCATGTTTCATACGAAGTGAGAAGTATCAGTTAGTTAGTTAGTTGGGTTATCATCATTGCACTCTGGACATGTCCATAGGTGCTCAGATCCTCCCCTCAGTATAAAACCCCAACGTCTGATGGCTAATAGTAACAGCTCTATGTTGATTAACAAGCCTTCTGGCGTGTCTGATGTGCTTCTCATTTTTTTGCTACACCAATCTTAATTCCCAAGTCTGCCATTCTGGCGAGTGATGTAGATTGACTGCCCCCAAAGTCCTCTATCCTTCCCATTTCTCTGAGGGCATTAATAGTGAGAAGTATATTCTAAAGAGGGAAGAACAAGTAACAAATTTCCGCTTCACTCCATTCTTGATTGCAAACTCTTCTAATGTTAGATGCCCTCATCATCATCATCATCTAAAACCACTTTTGCTATTAAGCGTCACTGGAACAATCTGCAATCCAGTGCATACTGGCTGTCAGTGGCTGATGTCATGATGAAGGCAAAAATGTCTCTAATATCGTCAGTCCATATTTGTTATGGCTGTGTTCTTGCAGCTGATCTTCTCAGATGTAGTTCTTGTGAAGGTATGTGATGATGCTGCATTCTAATGAGAATGCCAAACTACTTGATCTGCTGTTTTTCAATGAATCTAGTATAAAGTTGTATTCCCACAATGACAGATGCTGTAATTACAGCAAAAAACATTCAGGAAAAGCTCATTTCAATAAAAAAAAATATTAAATTTATTTTGGGTTGCTAACACAAGTGTTACTTACACAGTCTCTGGACAGTGTTTTGGCTTTGGCAGTCTCTTTCCCTCCTTGACAAGGGAAACCACAACAGCAGCTTGCGTGTTAGGATATGGTTCAACACCTCGTGTAAGCACCTCCCACATTACAACTGCATATGACCACTGAAAATGCAAACACATAGAAAACTGCAATACTTTTGGTTTTCAGGTAATCAGGTAATGACAAGTCAAACTTTATTCATAGCAAACGGGGGCACCCCATAATTGCTTTATTTCTGTACCAATGAAAACACAATATCCATCACTGTCCCTTGTGGAAAAATTGAGCTAGATTGCAGTCTTAGCAAATCCAATAGCCTACACAGGCATTAAATACATAAGGCAGTCATCAGAAGTGCCAGCACAAACAGTCTGACACTAGAAATGCAGTTCATTGGTCACCTCTTTCCAGTTTGTGGCTCCAAATATTTGTAGGCCTACAGATAAATTATATATCCACTGTCCTCTTGGTCTGCCTCATGGTCTACTTCCACTGAACTCTCTTGTGTGTGCAGCTTCCTTCTGTCTGTCTTACCTGCCATTCTCTCTAACAGCTGAGCTGAGTTGAGGCAAGAATTGAAATCACAGCACTCACATGATGCCAGTTATAAGTGGTGATTAAAGCAGATGAATTGCATTACTGCTTCTCACTCTCCATTCTCCACTGTTGGCACCTTTGAAATGGTGCAATAACAAAAATTGCCATAGGACTGTTCTAGATAGCGTGTAATAAGATTTCAACTCTGTTAGTTGTACTCCAGGAAAATGCAGTACTTCATGTAAATTCTTCTTCGCGTTCACTGGCTGTAAAGTCTGGTAGAAAAATCTGGTTGTTTGTCCACTTCTGGACTTTGATCTTGTTCAGAATCTGAGTTTTGTGTACACATGTTTTACAAACACAGTGTATCTCTGCCTGGGAGGTGAGGAACCAACACTCTGCATACAAATTTGTAAAGATAGAAGTGCACACAAAACTCCAAGTTATGGAACAAGTCTAAAATCCATAGGTGGGTGAACAACCAAAACTTTCTGCTTTAGTTTAAAGCCAGTAAAGAGTTTACAAAAGTATGCAACATCTGCAGTAACCTATGAAAAGTGTGAGCGAAAAAAGAAACAGAAGAAAGATTGAGCTAGTTATCTTTTCATAACGGAAATATGAAGATTTCAGAAAAACAGGTGTGATGATGATCGTAAATAAACTGAATAAATAACTGGATCAAAAAAGACAATAGTGAAAAACTTACAACATCAGAATGTGAAGAGAAGGTGAAATCTTCAACAGTTTCTGGTGCCATCCATCGAACTAATTCAGACACTCCATCGTCTCCATTATAGAACTCTTTAGGGAAAAGGCTTGCTGTGACTACATAATCAGTCAGCTTTATGGATGGTTCTTTGCTGTCTTCTTCTAAAATGCTGTTGAGATGAAACAGAACTCATTAATATAGACAGATAACTTTAAAGAACTGCAGAGAAAGATTCAACAGTTCATTAAAAAAAAAACCAAGTGAGAGCTGCCACGATGCAGCAGCAGGGCACTCGCCCACGGATCTGAAGGTCACAGGTTTAAATCCAAAACGGAGCTGGACTTTTTTTTTTTTAAATGACGTTGGCTCCCAGGTTGACCCAGCCTTAACTGGGTACCAGTAAAGTCCTGGGAAGTAAAGGCAGCTGACATAATGCTGATCAGAAAGAAAGAAAGAAAGAAAGAAAGAAAGAAAGAAAGAAAGAAAGAAAGAAAGAAAGAAAGAAAGAAAGAAAGAAAGAAAGAAAGAAAGAAAGAAAGAAAGAAAGAAAGAAAGAAAGAAAGAAAGAAAGAAAGAAAGAAAGAAAGAAAGAAAGAAAGAAAGAAAGAAAGAAAGAAAGAAAGAAAGAAAAAGATAGAGACAGTTATCTGATGACACGTTTTCATTATTTGATGGGGAAAGCCCATTTACCTAGAAAATACTGATGTAAAAAAAGTAAAGGACCCTTTTCCATGCCTTTAGGCATATAGGGCATATAGGGCTAGACCTATGTTTTATAAACCAATGGCACAAGATGGGTGATGTGGTCAGCATCAGGCCGGCCGCCTCTACTTCCCAGGACTGCACCCGGTACCCACTCAAGGCTGGGTCGACCTGGGAGCCAACGTAATTTTTTAAGAAAAGTCCGGCTCCCCCAGGGAGCGAACCCATGACCTTCCGATCCGCGGAACGCGTCTAGCCGCTCTGCCGCTGCGACCCCACAAGAATCGGTATTTTCAACGTGGTATGGCCGTAGACAAATACTGATGACCCATATAGAAAAGAACTGCCAATTGATTGGTTCACTTCTTCTTCACAACGTTCTTCTTAACGTTGACTGGTTGAAAACTCTGGTGGAAGGTTTTGGGTGTTTGTTGGCTGAAAACTCTGGTGGAAGGTTTTGGGTGTTTGTTGGTTGAAAACTCTGGTGGAAGGTTTTGGGTGTTTGTTGGTTGAAAACTCTGGTGGAAGGTTTTGGGCATTTGTCCACCTCTGGACATAAGTCTTGTTCCACAACCTGAGCGTTGTGTGTACATTCATACAGATTTCACTTTGTTGTAGGCAGACTGCTAGTTCCTTGTCTCTCAGGTGATGCACCCTGACTTCCATAATAGGGAAATAACACGGGAAAGTAATTGATACACTTGAACCCTAAGGTACTCTTATGTGCAATTACAACAATTTCACTCATTAAATTACAAGAATTTTGAATGTCAAAAATATAGCAACATTTTGTTCCTTTCAGAAGCTTTATTTTTTTTAAGTTATACACATTTTAAGTGTATTTTTAAAATAACTGTGATAATCATCTTGTGTACTTTCATCTTTTTTTGTTCTTGTGATGTTTAATCCTTACTATAATCCAAAAACACTTTGCATTAATGGAAGATAGATAATGCAATATGAATGTAACAATTATTACAAAGGTAGACTTATAATCTAATACACTTAACACTCATAATCACATAATCTATAATAGTAAACACATAGAAATAGCAACATTAAATAATTCACATTATAAAAGAATGCACAAAAATGGCAGGCGCAAATACTTACATACAATTCCTAGCTGCCAGATTTCTATGTACAATCTTGAGATTCTCCAAGTATGCCATGGCATCTGCTATTTGGTGGCAATAGGTCAAAAGGTCAACCAGGCTTAATGTCTGCAAATCAGAATATGAAGAAGTTTGTGTGTACATGTGCACTCGTGAGTATGTGTTGTGGTGTGTGTAGGTGTGGTGGGTGTGGTGTGTGTGCAGTGTGTGGTCTGTCTATGTGGTGTGGTGTGTGTGGGTCTGGTGTAGTATGAGTGTGGTATACATGGTTGTGGGTCTGTGTGAGTGGGGTGTGTGTTTTTCTGGTGTGGTGTGTATGTGGTGTTTGTGTGTGGTTTGGTGTGGTTAGATATAAACTACTGTAACTTTGTCTTACATAACCCATCTTTCACTACTTACAGGTAATACTGTTTCAGTTTTGAGCACTCAGTGAAAATATAAGAAAATTATTTTTCCTAAAATCATTGTCCCAGAAACTGGCTATACACACGCAAATACAGTATCTTTTGTGTGCTGTTTAAATGTGATTTTTAGGGCTTCATTAGTCTAAGGTTATTCTTGATGCAGTCAGTCCATCTTGTGCAGGGTCTTCCCCTTGCCACACACAAAAATGGTACAATAGTTGTTAAGACACTGAAGAGTTTGGCATGTTCTGGGGAATTAGTTGTGTATCTGCTAAAGTACATTTCAGAACCAACCCCAGCACCTGCTGACTGTTTTTGTTTTTGAAGTTCAGCAATTTTATGTTCAGTAGTTATGGCAGTTTACCGAAAGGTCAGCTCTCGATACTACTGTCAACATCAATGCAATATGGTCTGCTATACGGTCTGCTATACGGTCGGCTATACGGTCGGCTATATGGTCGGCTATACGGTCGGCTATACGGTCGGCTATATGCTCTGCTAATGGTCGGCTATATGCTCTGCTAATGGTCGGCTATACGGTCGGCTATACGGTCGGCTATACGGTCGGCTATACGGTCGGCTATATGGTCGGCTATACGGTCGGCTATATGCTCTGCTATACGGTCGGCTATATGCTCTGCTATACGGTCTGCTATACGGTCTGCTATACGCTCTGCTATATGCTCTGCTATATGCTCTGCTATATGCTCTGCTATACGGTCGGCTATACGGTCGGCTATACGGTCGGCTATACGGTCGGCTATACGGTCGGCTATACGGTCGGCTATATGCTCGGCTATATGCTCTGCTATATGCTCTGCTATATGCTCTGCTATATGCTCTGCTATATGCTCGGCTATATGCTCGGCTATACGGTCGGCTATATGCTCTGCTATATGCTCGGCTATACGGTCGGCTATATGCTCGGCTATACGGTCGGCTATACGGTCGGCTATATGCTCTGCTATATGCTCTGCTATACGGTCGGCTGTATGGTCTGCTATATGCTCTGCAATACGGTCTGCAATACGGTCTGCTATATGCTCTGCTAATGGTCTGCTATATGCTCTGCAATACGGTCTGCTATATGCTCTGCTAATGGTCTGCTATATGCTCTGCTAATGGTCTGCTATATGCTCTGCTATATGGTCTGCTATATGCTCTGCTAATGGTCTGCTATATGCTCTGCTATATGCTCTGCTATACGGTCTGCTATATGCTCTGCTAATGGTCTGCTATATGCTCTGCTATACGGTCTGCTATATGCTCTGCTATACGGTCTGCTATATGCTCTGCTAATGGTCTGCTATATGCTCTGCTATACGGTCTGCTATATGCTCTGCTATACGGTCTGCTATATGCTCTGCTATACGGTCTGCTATATGGTCTGCTGCCAAAATAGTTTCCAGCTGAGATTCAAATTGATTACAGAAATTAAATATAGTTAGTGGGTTCCGGGGCCCCATTGTGGGGAAAACAAGAATAGACCCACTGCCTCCCAAAAAGCATGTCGTAAGAGTCGACTAATTGGGGAGCTTCCTTTGAAGTCGAAGTGCATCTGCTGGAGAGGCAAGGAGCCAACAGTCTGTATTCAAGAGAATGAGATCTGTAAAACTGATGCACACTCAACACTCAGATTCTGGAGCAAGACTGCTGTTCAGTAGTGGACGAGCAACCAGAACTTTCCGCCAGAGTGTACAGCTGGTGAACACGAAGAAGAAGAAGAAGAAGAAGAAATATAGTTAGTGAAGTTCCCTCCCACCCCTAGCCCTAAAATGTGGTATTATAGACAGAAACAATACTGAAAAGTTTGGCATGTTTTAAGAAAACAAATGTACAAATTCAGGGACAATAGCATACCTGACAGAAAAGAAAATCTACAATAAAAAGTACAACAATGTCAAGCTTATTATCTGATCTCCTACCTTGGCGGGTTCTCTAATATATGATCCCAAATCTTCTGTAGCCATGAAAGGCATCACAACGATGGGATCATCACTGGAACTGATGACAGCGCCCACAACCCGCAGTAAATGAGGATGGGACAAGTCCCGTACCAAGGCAACATCTTGTAGGAACTGCTGCAAAGCCTCGGCTTCAGACCGGCGTGCTGAGGAATTTTATTAAAAGAAGTATAAGTAAGCTCACTGTACACTGTTGTCTACTATGTAAAAAAAGTTAGCATACAAGTAAACATAAATGTATATTAGCAGAAGATAAGACAGCTAGGTAGACAGAGAAAAAAAGAGAGAGAGATGGTATAGGTATGCTTGTCAATTACTTCTGGTTATTAAATATTGCACAGGTTATGTATCAATAGCAACAGACTATGGGACTATAGATAGTTAAGTTTAAAAGTCAGTTTAAAATTATTTTTTTTTAAAGGCATAGCTTTCCGATGGCACATTACCATAAGTAGGTAGTTACAGACAGACAAGCAGAGACAACTTAACAGTTTTTTTTTTTTTTTAAATATCCAGAAACCATGAGTTGTTAACCCTTTGGCTCGGTACTATGGATATCGCAACCATTCGGCCTTGATTCCATGATAGGTACGGTAAATCTGGGAGAAATGTGGCTTTTCTGCCTACCCCTGGGGGTGAACCCGGACCACAAGGAGTTCGTCACCCGGTCACCGCAAAATCAGGTTTAACCAGCTATGCTAGAGAACCGGGCAACTAAATAGTTAGATAAGCAGACAGATAGGTAGGTGTATACAGAAAGGCACAGAGATAGCCAAGAAGATAAACAATAGGTGTAGTCAGATAGATAGTAGTTATGCATATTGATAAAGCAATTGTGTGAGAGGGAAAGAGACAGAAATAGGCAGTAGTCAAAGACTAAAACTATGAAATTAACAATACATAGCTTGAAGAAATTGAAAATATCACAAACTTAGCAGACAGTAATGAGGACGACATTCTGCAAAGGACCTGCTAAATGATGATGATGATGATAGAATTGGTCTATAAAACACTGGTATAGCCCTATATGTCCGAAGGCCTGAGCAGGGTCGTTTACTTTTACTTACTAAAATGAAATGAGAGAAATACTTTGGAGTCATGACTGGACTAGATCAATCAATCTCTTCTGAGTATCTCTGAGTTTGCATGAAGGATCATCTGTGTCAGTGTTGACTGAAAGTACATGAGACACACGGTTGCGGACAGACATGACTACCAATGCCACATGGCATGTGAGTTCTGGAGTGGCATTTTGGGAAGAGAAGAAGGGAATGAGACCTCATTTGATGATCAAAAGCAATCAATAATAGAGGATAGGATAATTAAGAGCAAACTAGTTAACGGCTAACATCCCCCCCCCCCCCCCCCCCCCCCCCCGACACTTGTGGAAGAGAAGAAGAGAAGAAGAAGAACTGGTTAACGGCTGTGTAAAAACTGGAAGACCAAACAGGCAAATATAGCCTGATGATGGAACTATCCAGGTAACACTCAAAGTTGCTTACCCTGCAATGTTTTAACTGCTACTTCTGCCTGCTTGTCAGAATCAGAGTGTGTATAAAGTGCCTTGTAGACTGCACCGTAATAACCTGTACAGAATTATAAAGTATAACTTGATATAAAATCAGACAACTAAAAGTATCGGTCAGGAAAACAAGTATCATTGTTTTGCTGTTTGTGATTTTACTAGACAATTTTATATTCAGTGGAATATCACTGTTTTCTGAATGGTCGAGAGCCCACGCTGTTGTTGAAATCAATGCAAAGAAATGATGAACACTTAATATCTTCTTTTTTCTTTCTTTTCCTCTTTTAATACTTTAGGTTTCAAGAGAGATATAAGGTTCTGCTTCTTGCTCATCTGGCTGCCTCGACCACAAACACATCATGCTGTTGTTGAGTTTCTCTAATGTTATCTTGTTCTTGAGATTCTTTGTGCTCTATGTACTTCTCCTGTTCTGGTGTGTATCTTATGTGGTATGGCATCACAGGGCATTCTCTGTCAGTGGGCAGACCATTTGATTTGCTGTCTTTGTAAGTAATTTAGAACTGGTTATCTCTGAAGTGTCGGCTCTGTGGCCGGGTTCGATCCCAGCTGTGGGCCATGTGCCTTGCATTGGTTTCGACAGTGGTATCAAGAAAGCCGACCTTCCAGAAAGCAATGGCAAACTACTAGATGTAAATTTGCCTAGGCAAACCACACACGGACTGTTTGGGTTGGTTCTGCAACGTCCTGTAAAGGATACGCAACTAACCTATCTCTGAAGTATGGTGTCGCCTTGTGCCACAGGGCTACTATGGTATCCACAAGGGCTACTCAGGGTCATCCTAAAATGTCCTGGCCAAACATGGCTCGGGTGAAGACGTGACAGGCCTAGCAAGCTGGTAGTAGACTTATTATGGCTACAGAGAATACAATGAGATATATGGATCAAACTTCATTGATATAATGCAGGTGTTTAAAGAAAAAAAGTTCCTGATTTCTTTAAAAAAGTAAAGTAAAAGCAAAGGACCTTTTTCCATGCCATCAGGCATATCAGGCACATAGGGCTAGACATATATTTTACAGACCAAATGGCACTTAGTGGGTTGTTTGGTTAGCAACCCCCTGACCACCTTTACTTCCAAGGACTCCATCTGGTACCCACTCAAAGCTGGGTCGACCTGGGAGCCATGGTCCTTTTCTTTTTTTTTTAAAGTCTGGTGCCATCAGGACCTGAACCCAACACCTTCGGATCAGCAGACGAGCATCTAGCTGCCACCCATCGCGGCTCCCCATCAAAAAGTATACTAAACACAAAATGTACGTGTCCTTTCCATTCCTTCCTTCAGCTTTGGAGTCATGGTTTGTTTAGTTTACTACTTAATCCCTTTGCTTGTTGTGTTGTATTTATTTTAAACTGACACATCAAGACAACATTTGAACAAATGTAACGTGAGCAGGGTGGATAGTAAGACTGAAACAAATGAAGAAACTGTTTTTAAAATACACTTTGAGTTGAGTCAAGAATTGACATCACAACACTCGGGGCATTCCCATGCATGCTCCGTCCTCATCTTCAGCAGCTAGCGCAGTGTTCGAATACTGATGGTACTGGTCACAATCTGGTTTTATGTCTGTCTTGCCTTTCCTCTGAGTGTAGTGAGCCGGCCAGACCCTCTGGTTACACCCAGATGCCTCATTCTCTCCAGGCCAAAATAATCTTCTTTCTCTACTGATTCCATTGCTTGTTCCCAAAGGGCCTTGACCACATCTGTCTTGTCATGTATCAATTCACCACCCAGTGGTGCAGATCCAGCCAATCTGTCTGCCTGTTCTTTACCCACCACGCCGGCATTGCCTGGAGAAAAGATCCAAAGTATGCTCACTACCAGTGACCTTTCCAGTGAAGCTTGCCACTCTACACTTTTAAAGACTCTTCTTCATCTCTTCCTCCAGGTACATCAATGATGTGTTGGGGAGAATATGTAAGGATCTTTTGTGTGATTTTTCTAATGAACTGCAAAAACTGAACTTCATTTATTAACAACGGTTCTTGAAGCTGTTGTTTTATTTTTTGCATGATCTTTCTGTTGCTCTGTTTTCATTACACTTCTTTAGAATGGTTCTCTCTGGTGAAGGTACAAGGGGATTCTCATCAGAGGACCAAACCATCTCATCTGTTGCTCTTTAATTAACAGTATGACTGGTTTCAGACTGATTCTTCTTTGAATTCCTTCATTTTTAATTTTATCTCATCTTATCACCAGGCAGCTCATCGAAGACATCTAATCTCTGTTGTTATAAATTTGTGCTCACAAAATGCTGTCTTAATTTTCTTTCTTCTTTTGTCCTACTGTTTATTCCTTAAAGAGCCGCATAAATTACTTAGATGTAGATTCTTCTCCTTTGCTAGTTGCACAGCCAGTGTTAATTTCATAATGCATTTCTGTAGCCTTATATTTTCTTGATTAGCCTCTTGCTTTCTAGCCTGTGGTTCTCATGTAGTACGCTCAGCTGATTTGATGTTTTGTAAATCATTTACCCGTACTGTGCCTACCATTGTTCTTAGTTCTTCAATGGTAACTCTCTCTCTCTTCTTGTTTTTTCCTGACACATTTCTTACACATCTCATCTCACATGCTGTGAATTTTGTGTCTATATTTTTCTAAGATTATCCATCTCTGGCAGTGATAGCACAAAGTTGGTACGAACAGCGCATTTATCATTAGTTGTAGAAAGGCAGTAGTGGTAGTTAGCCAAAAATATCCTGTTCAATCCTCAGGATTATAACTGGGATACATAGTCTTAACTGCGTTCTCAAAGCATATATATATATATATATATATATATATATATATATATATATATATATATATATATATATATATATATATATATATATATATATATATATATATATATATATATATATATATATATATATATATATATATATATATATATATTATTTTAAATGCATATTTTGTGTAATTATTTATATGACCAAAATGTAATTTGTATTGTTTCACATTTTGCTTTGATATGGGTTGGGATTATGATAGAAAATGTATTGCGAATAATTAAACACTAGCATTGTGTCATTAACATGGCTGATACATTGTAGAAAGGGTCCATAAAGACAAACACCAACTGAAATCTCACCTTTCCCTAAGGGTTCATAAAGACAAACACCAACTGAAATCTCACCTTTCCCTAAGGGTTCATAAAGACAAACACCAACTGAAATCTCACCTTTCCCTAAGGGTTCATAAAGACAAACACCAACTGAAATCTCACCTTTCCCTAAGGGTTCATAAAGACAAACACCAACTGAAATCTCACCTTTCCCTATCAAGTCTCCAATATCTAATCTTCGTCTGGAAATGAGAGCTGCTGCCATGCTTTGCTTCAGTGCTGGCTCCTCAAACTTTGCCAGGAGTTCGTTAATATACGGAGTAGAATCTGAATCAAGGGGGGAAAAACGCATTAGGGAAAAGACAATGGTTAATCAGCTCTTAGTTTTCAGCATATTTTAACTCTTCAGTTAGTTAGTTAGTTAGTTAGTTGGGTTATCATCATTGCACTCCGGACATGTCCATAGGTGCTCAGATCCTCCCCTCAGTATGAACCCCAACGTCCGATGGCTAATAGTACCAGTTCTATGTTGATTAACAAGTCTTCTGACGTGTCCCGTGTGCGTCTCGTTTTTTGCTGTGCCAATCTTAATTCCCAAGTCTGCCATTCTGGCGAGTGATGTGGATTCACTGCCACCAAAGTCCTCTATCCTTCCCATTTCTCTGAGGGCATTGATAATATCAGCATGATCCATAGGCCGACCGTCGGTAGTGATAGCGGATCCAGCCAACCTGTCAGCTCTTTCATTTCCATCGATGCCTGCGTGTCCCGGAACAAAAATAAAGGTGACTCCACGCACAGTGGACTTCTGTAATGATTCAAGTGTCAGCCTGTAATTACCTCGTTCTACGCTGTTAAGTTCTAGTTTAAAGTAGCCACTGTTTAACTCTTTGAGAAGTTCCGTTTTGCCCAAACAACGCTGTTATCATCGATCGTGTATCCCGTACATTTTGCTTCGTACATGGCTCCATACTTGTTTCTAATGTTCGGAAGTACGATTAAACTATTCAGGGAAAGTTACTCTGCCGAAATCCTTTAAGATAATTTCACTATCAGAAATCTAATGTGTATAATTTGAATGGATTCACAGTGAAATTTTTTTCAAACAGTGCATTTTCTAAGTTTGTTTTCAAGTGTCATGAATAACTATGTTCCCACCTCAAGTACAGGTCGCAGAATGCGTCTTTCTGCGGCTGAAGCTCTGAAATTGTTTCAGTCAGATGTTTTTAATTCTTATAATAATAAAAATTTAGATTTTTCGGAAAGTTATTCAGACGGGGAATTTTCACCAGCGATGCTGAGCCATCAGATGTTCTGAATCTAGCGATTCTGATGAGTTTCTTACACAGACAATGTCCCATACTACCGTACTGATGGTGTAAGAGAAGGAAAGTTTTATTAGGATTAGAAGTATATTACACTCTCTATTGCCTTTCTTGTACACCCACCCCTCTGCCATTTTTGTAAAGGAAAATTAATGTGAGTCAAGTCTGTCAAAATACATGGGCCTAAAAGAGTAAAGTACAATGCAGATAAAATATAGAAGTATGCGACAAAAGGTATTAAACTAACAATCTGCACGGAATGAGTTTATATCACAAACATCTGTTTCATATAACAGAGCAAGGAAAGCATACAATTTTCACATAAACAATAACCATATAGTGATTTGTAATGTAAAAAAAAAAAATTAAAGAAACATCACAATGGAAGGGATTCACAAAATTACGAGTTTTAGTGTTCATGTGTGAGTGTGAGTGAGTATGTGTGTGTGTGTGTGTGTGTGTGTGTGTTTGTGGGGAGGGGGAGATCTTTACCATACAACATTTCAACGTGTCTCTTTTTTTTTTTTCATGTGATCTCTTTTTATTGCAGCCTAGTGTCTCCTTTACTCTCTATTTTTCTTTCTTCACTTTTATGACTGCCAGTCTGTACCTCTCTGTTTATTTCTAATAGGTAAATATTAACCATTACTTGTCGGCCCCTTTCTGTTTTTCCAGACTATAGTGTTATACTGTGCTATGTTTCATGGAAACAAAAACAGCCCAATACAGAGGTTCTGAAAGGACTACAAATGAATTACTGAAAGAAAAAGGGAAAAGAGAACTGAAATATTTTGGCCACATCAAAAGGCATAACACACTTTTAAAAACTATACTGGAGGGAAAGGTCAAAGGAAAGACAGCAAGAGGTGGGCAATAATACAAGTAGGAGGAGGACAACATCAAGAGATGGACGGGCAGCAGTCTGCGAGCGGGTACAACTAGGACAAGAGACAGGGCGTGTTGGAAATCCATTGCAGATAACCTTCACTGTGGAGACGGCACCTGATTGATTGACTGATGACTGTGCTATATGGAGGTATCGGGTCACAGCCCATGATGTTGCGACTGTGACTAGCAACACCCACGTGGCATTAGGATAAATCTTACCCATGCAGTAGGATTTGCCTGCCACATTGGCTCCAAAGGAAAAGTAACACCAGTATGTTTGGATCAAAACAGTATGCAAAAGCAGAAGTGGTTAAAAGAGAAGTGGTTCTGCACCACTTGCAGGTGAATTAATGTATGACAAGCTAGATGTTGTGAGAGCCCTTTGGGAGCGAGTGAACAGTGCGGAGGCACAAACAGATCATTATGGTCTGAGAAGAATGGCTCTGTGGGGAGTTACCAGGGGATCTGACCGACACTCAACACTCAAGGGAAAGGCGAGACAGATGTACAAACAGATTGAGTTCATGATACCATCGGAACTGGAACTCTTCACTTGCTGACAAAGATGGGGACAGAGCACTCAGGGGAGTATCCCGAGTGCTATGATGTCGGTCCTAATTTTAACACTCAAGAGAAGTGCTCTATCTGTCCACTTGTTGAAGCTTCCCTCCCAGACTGGTTGCCAACCAAGGCTAATGGCCAGGTCTGCCCTACCTTAACATATAAGTTTTTAGGTTGCATTTCCTCGTCCGATGATAAGTAACTACTAAGCATAACTTATTTGTATACACTCATTCTGAGAACAAGGACTGACAACCTACCGGAGTTCCTGTCTGCTTGTCCTCCTCCATTCATGTCCACTTTGACAGGAATATTATCCATGCCAATCAATTCCTCCTCGTCTTCTCCCTCCTTTTTCCCCTCGTAATCTTTCAAGACATCAGGAATGAAGTTCTGTTCAGGCTTATGTTTACGGTGACGACGTAGCACACAAATAGTCAGCAGTACAACAATGAACAGTATGGGCAATACAACTCCGAGAACTACTCCTAAAGTGATTGGTCTGCTGCTCTCGCTGGGCAGGAAGTAGCGCAGGTAGCCAGGTACTGATCTCATATTGCCAATTGTCACCTGTTGAAGAATAACATTTATTATTTGCAAGTCATTAACTCTTTTAGTACTAGAAAAAGGCTTCATAGGATATACCAATGAGGAAATATCAATGCATTATTTCAAAACAGTAAGTAGTGACCATGGATAAGCCAAGATTTTTTTAGTGTGTTCTGATCAGGGCTGCCTTTACTTCCCAGGACTTTACCTTGTGCCTTTTTTAGGCTGGATCAACATGGGAGCCAAGGTCATATTTTGTTTAAAACAGACTTGATGAAGATTTGAACCCAAGATGTCGAGGCTGGCAGGTGAATATTCAGACCCTATACCACTGCAGTGCAGAATCAATCACATTCAAAATTAAATGCTGAGAAAGGTGAAGACAAGGGCGCTTCGAGCAGAGTGGCAAGCTTCACTTGAAAGGTCACGGGTAGTGAGCATACTTTGGATCTTTCCTCCAGGCCCTGCCGGCGTTGTGGGAAATGAACAGGCAGACAGACTGGCTGAATCTGCATCACTTGGTGTTGAATTGATACATGACAAGGCAGATGTGGTCAAGGTCCTTCAGGAAAAAGCAATGGAATCAGTAGAGATAGAAGATTATTATGGCCTGGAGAGAATGAGGCCTCTGGGTGTAACCAGAGAGTCTGGCCGGCTCAATACACTCAGAGGGAAGTCAAGACTGACATATAACCAGATTGTGACCAGTCCCATCAGTGTTGGAACTGCGCTGGCTGCTGAAGATGAGGATGGAGCATGCATGGAAATGCCCCGAGTGCTGTGATGTCAATTCTTGACTCAACTGTTAAAATTAAAGTGAACCAATGTTCACAGGAAAATGCAGTGATATAGATAATAGTTGCAACATGGCCACCTATATAAATATCCCTAGCGCCACCTAGGGTCAAGCTATCCGGATAATGCTCTTAAGGTCAGAGGTTAATTTTTTGACTGCGTCATTCAGTTCACTAGTGCAATTTTTAGGGAGATCTCTGTGAACTGTTGCCAGAGCTACAGAGTTTGTACTTTCTGCAATGTTCACGGCTGGCCATTCTGCAGACAGACTGAAATAAACGAGATAAACTCCAGTGTAATGAAGTCGATCCTTTGGCCTTTGACCTTTATTCACATTCCTACAACAATACTTACAGTTACAGGTGCCTTTCCTGAGGCGTCTGTTCCTTTAGGTGTACTTGTAGGTGGCTTGCAGGTGATAGCCAAATCACTGGCAGAAGTCTCGCTACAAGGTTCATCTCCCACAAACACTCGTACACTAGCCATCAGTACATTCACCATTCGGAAACGGCCCTATGGAAATCAATGATCTTCTAAAATGTGACGCAGAAGTTTCCAAACATAGGGACAAAATAAACATTTTTTAAAGCGAAAACCATGATTATTTATATTCTTCTTCTAAGTTTATCTGAAGACATAAATGTGCTGTGCCCGTTTGCAACACAGCTGCAATATTTGTAATTTTCAGCGGCCATTTCTGAATTTTGTAGATTTGTTGTCCATTTTACCTTCCCGGAGTTAATTTATATAATATAAAGTAAATAAAGTAAAGATCCCTTTTTAAGCCTTGTCAACATTGAGGGTGAAGAGCTGGAGACAGTTGACCATTTTACTTATCTGAGTTCCACAATGAATAACAAACTATTGCTAGATTTAAAAAAATCGATATCAGGATAGGTAAAGCAGCAACAACAACAATGAGAAGGTTAACAAAAAGAGTTTGGAAGAACATCATGCTTACGATTAAAACAAAAAACCCTTGTCTATCAGGCTTGTGTTTTCAGCACTCTGCTTTATGGTAGAGAAACTTGGTCACCTTATTCGCACCAGGAGAGATGGCTGAATAACTTTCACATGTGATGTCTAAGAAGAATATCTGGCATTAAGAGGCAGGACAAGATCACAAACACTGAGGTACTGGAAATAGCAGGTGTTACAAGAGTTTCCTCAATGCTAAGTCTACGAAAGCTCAGGTGGCTAGGCACACCTGGAGAATGGAGGATGCAAGAGTTCCTAAGGACATCTTTATGGAGAACTAAAAATGGGTAGATATTAAGGTTGACCTCTACTACAATATTATGACGTGCGCAAGTGGGACATTAATTAGTACATGTATTACCTCTTTGAGGCCCAAGCAACCGCGTGAGCGTTGTTTGAGAAGTTCCGTTTTGCCCAAACAACATCGTCGATTGTGTGTCCCGTACATTTTGCTACGCACACGGCTGTGTACTTGTTTCGAATGTTCGAAAGTACGATTAAACTATTCAGGAAAAGTCATTCTGCTAAAATCTTTTCAGAAACTTTTCCTATCAGAAATCACACGTGCGTTATTTGAACCGATTCGTAGAGACATTTTCCTAAGTTCGTTTTTTGAGTGCCATGAATACCAATGTTTCAACCACAAGTACAGGTCGCAGAATGCGTCTTTTTGTGGCCAAATCTCTTAAATTGTTTCAGTCAGATGATTTTAATTCGGATAATGATAATGAAAATTTAGATTTTTCGGAAAGTGATTCGGAAAGGGCATTTTCACTAACGAAGCTGAGCGATCAGCTGTTCTGAATCTAGCAATTCTGATGAGTTTATTACACAGACAATTACCCATGCTACCGTATTTATGGTGTAATAGGAAAGTGCTCTAAACAAAGAGATTGTACTATACTATGGTTAAGCTACATTAAAACCATCGCAGCTACAGTCTGTTAATGACGGTAAAAAGTAAACAGTAAATAGTGTAAGTGTGTGTAACGGCTCATTTTTCTGCAAATTTTTCTCTGAAATTTTGCTCAGCACTATGTAAGAACTAAGAGCCCCTGAGTGTTAAACTAACCCAGAAACTTATCATAACTATAACTATTTTAGGAAATTGAACAAACTTTGAAGTTTTGTTCTTAAATTGGGATATTCACTACTAACTACTAACATTTACTTACTTATACTAAAACTAACATTCACTTATTTATACTAAAACTAACTAACATGTATTTACTTATACTAAAACTAACTAACATGTATTTACTTATACTAAAACTAACTAACATTTACTTACTAATACTAAAACTAACTAACATTTACTTACTAAAACTAACATTTACACATTAAAACTAACTGTCAGCCAGCCAACCTGTATTGAAAGTAAATCAGCCTCATGAAATGTCTTAGTCCTGTCTTCCTCTTCAAAATAACATTTACTTACTTATACTAAAGCTAACTAACATTTACATACTAAAATTAACTAACATTAACTTACTTATACTAAAACTAACATTTACCTAACATTTACACATTAAAACTAACTGTCAGCCAGCCAACCTGTATTGAAAGTAAATCAGCCTCATGAAATATCTTAGTCCTGTCTTCCTCTTCAAAATAACATTAACTTACTTATACTAAAACTAACTAACATTTACTTACTAAAACTAACATTTACACATTAAAGCTAACTAACAGTCAGCTGACCTGTATTGAGAGTAAATCAGCCTCATGAAATGTCTTAGTCCTGTCTTCCTCTTCAAAATATGCTACACTAGGATCTGGGTAATACATCAGTGGTCCGAAGGTGGCATTATGGGAAATATTTCTCAAAGATGTTATGTTGGCCATTTTGAACGAGTAGTGTACTTCCAGTGGACTTGTCTCGGTGATGTTGATATTTTGTGAGTTGATCGCTGGGACCCTGCATTCCATGATGTTCACACTCATTACTTCACAACCCTGGAAAACAGTAGTTATATAAAGCAAGTTACATAAAACAGGAAACATAGGAATAAAGTGGGTTACATAAAGCTGAAAGTTTTGTTAATATTATAAAAGTTCAAGCCATCAAGTAGCAGCAAAGAAACTGCTTAATACCAGTAATATTTCGAAGCCTTTGATAATAATTCTATCGCATTCAAGCTTCTAAGGACTTTGCTTATAATTGGGATTTTTCGGCTCTCCTTTAAATACCGATCGCTAGCTGGAAAGCTGACGGTGGCTTAGTGGGAGTTCACTCTCTTGGCTGCATTGCAAATACGGAGCGGACAAGTCATGAATCAAAACAGACAGTGAGGTCGACATCAGGGCTGCCAATGCTTGGGTGTGTCCCCCAGATCTGGGTGTTTATGTGACTCCTCGGGGACATCTGGGTTCTTTTTTTTAGTAAATATATCCTTATATAATGGTGCTATTAGATGCCATGGATGTGACTCCTGCAGATCTGTATGCCTTAATGACCGATAAATTTGCGTGGTTAGGGGTAGGTTAGGGTTAGGGTTAGGGTTAGGGTTAGGGTTAGGGGTAGGGTTAGGGTTAGATGTGACAAATTTGACGCAGGAGTCCCAACTAATCGTGCAGTGACATACACACCCAAACAATTGAAGGACTGTGGATGCTACTCACACGGACAACTCGCCATCAATTGGGCACCAGCCGCGTGCTATTGCCATCATAATTAGGAGAACTCCAGTGGCGCCACTCCCACAAGCATCAGATTGTCGGCCATTATGTGGAACTCCTGCGTCACAATTCTCACATCTAGCCCTACCCTAACACTAACCCTACCCTTACCCCTAACCCTACCCCTAACCCTAACTCTACCCCTAACCCTAACCCTACGCAACCGTATGATGATAGGTAAGTATGTCATTTGTTTCGTTCCCGCTTTACGGTCCGTATTTGCATTGCAACCAAGGGAGTGAAATCCCACTAAGCGACCATCGGCTTTCCAGCTAGCGATTGTTATTTAAAGGAGAGCCGATTTTTCTTTTAATGCAGTACTTGTTCAAATTTTGTTTCTTGTGGTTTCATTAGATTTTGTTGCAGAGACGTTTATTTGATGGTGATTCTTTATATCTATTGAATTTGTGTAAACGTTTTCCAAGGCAGCAGGTTTCCGCCGTTTTTCTTACCAAGTAGTATGGCTTCATTCCCGACAAGAAGGGTTGCTTGTCAGGATATATCTGATGAAAAGTTGCTTCTGGTGTATTCTTTCGGTTCCATCCTGCCACTGCAAGGTATTTGGTCATTCTATTGGATACTGAATATCTATTCTTATTGGATGATGTCTTCTCCGATTTGCTTCCTACTAGTACTTGGCTGTTCTTGGTGTTTTTTTCATTCTTTCTATCATTTTACTTCTCTGTTTATTCCCTGTCTAGTGTCGTCTTGACTACTTGATGCTTGTGATTTGGTTTTTCAGTCTCCAATGATAATGTTTTCTTCTGTTTCCTCCTCCTCTCTTCCCTTAATCTCTTTGTGTATTGAACTCTTGCTTGTCAGTCTTCATTCATCTTGATGTTTTTCCAAGGAAATTCTGTTTTCCCTGGTGTGAATAAGTTGACCAAGTTTCACAGCCATAAAGCTAAGTGCTGAGAATATGAGCCTGAAAGACAAGAGATTTTGTTTTAATCGTGAGATTTCTGTTCTCCTAAACTAATTTTTGTTAATCTGTTTGTTTCTGCTGCCTTGCCTATCCTGATGTTAATTTCTTGGTCCAGCAATAGTTTGCAATTTACTAGGGATCCCACATAGGTAAAATGGTAAATGTTTTCCAGCTCTTCACCCTCAATGTTGACTGCAGGCCTATCATCAACGCCTTGCACAATAACCTTTGTTTTCTTTTTGCTGAATGTTAGTCCAAATTCACAGCACACAGCATGCATTAACAAATCCAGACAGTAAACATTGCAGCTCCTACTCTAAGTGGGTGCAAATTGCTGCATCATCTGCAAACAGCAGCTCTCTGATAAGTACCTTTCTTTTCCTGGTTCAGGCCCTTTAGCCTTCTAGCACTGTGAAGGCTGCCATCTGATCGATAATGGATAAATATACCACCTTCCTAATCTTGAAAGGCAATTTATTTTTCAAAAGAAGTAAAAATATATTCCAAAGAGAGTATGAGCAAGTACACATCCCGATTAAAGGATTAACACTTTTATAAAAACATTACTGGAGGGGTCGGAGGAGGAGGAAAAGAAGAAGATGATGAAGATGAAGAAGATGAAGAAGAAGAAGATGAAGAAGAAGAAGGGCTAAGATGAAGAGCAGAAGAAGAAGAAACTACCTCTGATAAATCTACAAGTACAATACAAGTACAAGAATGCCAATGATTAACATTACCTCTCTAAAGAACATTCCTCCATATGTAGTAACAAACTCTGGTTTCTGAATGAGGTTCAGGCCATCTCCTCTCACTGTTATAGATGTACCACCACTAGAGATAAAATAAATGACATTTCTTTATTAACCCTTTCGCTGCTATGGACGAGATAACTCGTCTGCCCGGCAGACTGCTGAAGACGAGATAACTCGGCTGCAATTTTCTGTGCCCTCACTGCTAAGGACGAGATATCTCGTTTTGGACATTTTTTTACAGATTGCTAAGGACAGTAATTCTTGGGGGTGAAATAGCAATACACATTAACTTAATCTGATCAAACTGACCCGTTTACATACAATTAAAACCCTTATCAAGTGAGTTTAGGCGTATTTAGATGCATTTCACGTTATCCTATTTCTTTGTTACCATAGAAGCATTGTCGGTGATCGGTAATTTTTTTGCCCTGAAATATATTTCTGGTTTTGCGTTAGTCTAAATTTTTTTTTTTTAAATACAAAATAACAAGAACATTTGTTTAAATAAAGAAGAATTATTTGAGTTTCTTTCAAGGAGTAGTAGTAAGGATCACTTTGAAACGTGTGAGTTATATGAGCTGGGTTATCTTCGCGGCACGCCGGCGGACACGTGTACCTCTGGCTGTGAACAAGACTGACCAGTGACCATATGACCTAGCTATCTACATCGACTTGATTTGAAACGGATCCAAAATAATCACACAAAAAAAGATATCGTCACGTACTGACGTGATGATTAATATTAATGTTAATTATATACTATACAACTGACATAAATGTGTTTGTCTATTAAAGTGTACAATACTGGTCTTTTTTTCAATTCATAGTTTTATGTGAATTTCTAGTGTAGTTGGTATCACGTCTGCCTTACAATCGAAAGGTCCAGCGTTCAACCCCTACGTGCCTTTTTTTTTTTTTAATTAATTATTTTAAATGCAAATTTTAAATTTAAGCTGTTAGCATTTTCGGCAACAGATAACCAAAGTAATAATTAATTAAACACCCTGTCACGTGCGTTCAGGTGGATTTAGAGGCTTTACACGTTATGTGAAGCGTGGTTGGTGTACTGTGCACATTCATTATATAAAGTTGTTGTGGTGAAAAACACACCTGTTGCCGAATTTCACTTAAAGTTAGTAAGAGAAATTCTACATAAATATTGCAAGGAAAAGAGAAAAAGTGTAGGAGGACAAAAAAGTGAAGATCTGCCACTTCGTTTTTAGTACAAAGGCATTTCCCTTCAATAATAGAGTCCGTAACATCGCAGAAAAAATTCCCAACCAGAAAGTGTGTGGTTTGCGAAAAAGCAAAAAACGACGGAAAACCAGATACATGTGCAAGGAATGTGAATTGGCATTGTGTGTCGCACCTTGTTTTAAAATATTTCACACACAAAGATATTATTAATAATAATAAAAACCATGTATTTGCTTACTAAAGTGTTTTGTGTTTGCTTTGTAAGTTTGTAGTGTTTTCTTTTTGTTAATGAGTTTTCACGGCGTAGTAATAGCGCGTCTGACTTGTCAGCGCAAAGTTCAACCACACGCCTTCAACGATTTTTTTATTTTAGGTGTACAATTTTTACCCCATGCCGCAAGCGCGTCTTCTGCTTTTGAAGGAAAAAACGGTATTCAGCACAGGGGGAAAGATTAGCTCTCGCATGGCTTAGCACAGTGGTTACGTTGGCTGGCGGAGGGCGCAGCAGCGAAAGGGTTAATATCTTACCCCAGATGACATCATAGGACAGTTCAGCATTTTAGAGGGTGGTAAGACTGGGTTTCCAGGCTTTCTGATGCTTTTAATGACCCCAAAACATCTAGAACTGGCCATAACCCCAACCCACCTATTTCCCATGACAGAGTACAGCCTAGGTCCCACGACTGCAGGCAGCCTATCTACCATCCCTTGAAATATTAGACTGTCCCGTGACCTGTGGAGTTCCTATATTTGAGGTAGAACATTAAGAAATCACTCAAGTGACTGCTAGCAGAAAGAAATTATCATTCTTGGTGCAAAAAAACAAGTTAGTGAAAATAAAAATGCAAACTAGAGTTGTGTATTTTTGTAATAATCGGATTTCCCAAAGGGTTTCCTATATGACGTGGTAGAATCAAAGGTTTGTCAAGTGAGCAGAACCCGAGAAGGGAACGCTCGCAAATTCCTGTATTTGACTGAGCTGTTGAAATGTGACTACCCATGGCAACAGGAGAAAGGTTTGAAGGAGAGAGGAGATTGAGTCAGTTGGTGATTGACAGTCACAATGAATGGTCCAGTTCTGAGAGAGGTATGACTGCTACGAAGTATAGCTGACGACTGCGTGACAAATTTCCTAGATTCCTAAGGATAAATGTTTGAGGAGAAGCTTTCTTCATTACTACTTTAAACGACTGTAAAGAATTGTGTCACTGTGTTGGAGATGTGAGACCTTCGCCTGCCCTTCGCATGAATGGAACCTTTGTAATGTAAGGTAAAAATAGTCTGAAGATTGAAGATGTAATCACTGATGACTGATCCTAGTACAACGAGTGAGAACAGAAGACAGCAACTAGACGACATTATTGTCAGAACTACAATAAAAAGAGAAACTGTAAATTGGTGTCACGTCAGTATTTATGTGTCTTCACCATCTGAATGAGGAGATATCCTTAATTTCCAGGTGCCTAACTAGAACATAAAGAAAGTGAAATCACAATTTTAGTATAGCCAAAGACACCAGTGCTGAATATCAGAAGTAAACTAATATCAAACACTAAAACATATACAATGCAGACCTAATAAGAACTTACAGAGGACAGATGTCAGCAATTCTGGAGAACAAACATGTAACAACTAACATCAAAAGAGCACTATTCTTTTACCAACACTATGTCACCAGTGCCAACCATGAGCATTAATAGCAACAACAAAAAAGGGAAAAAAGAAACAACAGAAATGAAATGTCTATAACGAATAATGAATTTAACTAAAAGAGTCAGAATAGGAAATGATGATATTAGGAAAAAGACATCAAACCAAATGGTTTGGACACGTCTCAAGGCTACTACCAGACAGTGCACAACAGAGAGCCCTGTCCTTTAGACATAATGGAAGCACAGCAAGCGGTTGACCACGCAAATTATGGATAGATGGAATATCCGAGGCCATAAGTACCAGCAGCATTTATAAAGCACATACCAAGGCTCACACCCCGTGCCTTTTCCAAACGTGAAGCTACAAGAAAAAAAGGACTAGAGAAGAAATTTATTTCTGTAGTATTTAAAGTTCAACAGTAAAGATTTCCCTTTTTAGCGACTGAAATGGTACTTCAGTCAGGCCCATACATATATCATGTTTCTAACTGACTTGTTATTTGTTTGCTGGTGTTGTGACATAGGCTCTTATCCTTGTTTAACCTTATTTCAAAAAGCTTTTTAAAAAAATATATTGGAAAAGTTGCCACAGATCGTTCTTAAAAGTAAAATAGTATGATCAGTTGTGCAGACATCTTCTTCTTCTTAAAGTTCATGCAGTATGGTGTTGGTAGTCATGTCTATCCCCAACCTATTGTCTTGTGTACTTCTAATCAACTCTGCAACAGATGATCCTCCATGCCATGATGTCAAACTGCCCAGCATCTTTTCTCTTGGTCTCCCTCTGCCTCTCCTCCCCACCAACTTTTTCTAACTGTCATGATTTACTCCAGTTTTCTCCTTCTCATCACATGACCAAAGAATGTAGATTGTCTCTTTCTGATGTGGGCAATCAGTTCTCTTCGTGAGTCAGTTTCTTTCAAGACATCCTCATTACTCTTTTAACTTGTCCCAGGTATTCTCTTGAGCCATTTATAAAACTATATCCCCACAGCTGCCAAATAATTAGACATCATAAAGCATCACATTTCTGCAGACCTCCATATCTATTCTATAAATTTTTTTTAAATGTACAATCTTTAAAATGTTTTACCTCAGAATTGTTTTCAGTGGTTCAATCATGGAAATTGTGGGATCTGGTTTGTAAGTGAATGCCTCAGGAACTTCCTTTCTATATCCCCCAAAGGTGACTTCAATTTTCTCACTGACAGTTTTGCTGGTCAGGGCTGGTACTCTGCATTCCAAAGCAGTTTTGTTTTGCCTGCAAGAAAGAATAAGAATACATATTATAAAAGGCATGAAAACAGCAATTATAAAAAAAAAATATGGGAGAGGGGGGGGGGGATGCACACACGCTGGTATACAAACAAATGTGGAGGGAGACAGCTGATTTCCTGCAATAATAAAATGAAGATCAGAACTGATGAGCTCCACGACAACAAAATGAAACAACCTACTCATACAGAGCCTACTTATCAAGTCTTCTGTTAGTGAGTTATTAAATGACTAACTTTTGAAGCCTGGTGTATTTTGGCTAGGTTAAATATTGTGGTGGCCTGAAGAAAATGGTGGTGAAGGGTATTGTTTCAGGAAAATATTTAAAATTTGTTTTTAAATATTTTCAAAATGTAAAATGACAATTTTATTTTCTTAATTACAATCTTCAGTTTGAAATTTAAAAAATAATAAAAAGGTACATAATTGTAACTTATACAAGTTAAATTGTCAAAATGTACATCTAGATAAAAAAATAAAAAAATGCAAAGTTGACATAAAATGTTGCAATGGCAATTCAAATAAACTGGTGATTTTTAATTATTAACATTAGAGATTTGCAGTTTAATTAACAGTGGGGGTGAAATACACCATTTAAAAAAAATAAAAACCTGTTATAAATTGCTCATGATTTTAAAGATATTTAAATGCATACATGTCTGAGTCAAACAATGGTAATAGTTATAAACATTTCCTATACTTTTTATCACTTCATTACAAGTTAAAGTGAATTACTCTGGATGCCATTCACTTTTGTGTCATGACAACATTTCTGACTGAGTCAAGCTTTCAGCTTCACTGTTGAGTCGAGCTTTCAGCTTCACTGCTGAGTCGAGCTTTCAGCTTCACTGCAATAGGGCCACACATACTTGCTATGTTCCTGTGCCAGTGAAAATCAAATAAAATGTCCCTCACTGTCCCACTTGAGAAACTGGTGAACAAACAATTAGTCCGACTTCATGGCTGGTGTTTTTAAAAAAAAAAACTTTTTGTAGCATCTGGATAGTGATAGAAAACTTACCATGGGAGAGACTGGGACCTATTCATGTAATATTCCTAAAGACAGCAGTAGGTGTACTGCAGCCAACTTTCATTATCCAGACAGCACAGCAATTTAAATTCACTCTCCCACTGCTTTCTGAAAGACTGCTTATCACATTTCCTTTAAATCATTATAAACATGTCTATTTGTTTCACATGTGTTTAATTATCATTTCCATGCTCTTTTCTGGCATATTTCTTGAATGTTCCACACCACTTGTTCTGCAGACTTCAGGTAACATAATTTTTTTTTTGTAATCCAAGTTAACAGATGAGTTCTGTATTAGTATTTCAAGTTTAAAACTTACTTTACAACTTGGCACAGGCCACTAGCCATTTTGACAGTGACATCACTTCCTGAGTCAAGGTGATCTCCAATCAAGGTCACCACTATTCCCCCAGAAACTGGGCCAGAATTTGGAATCAGGGATGTCAATACTGGATCCTGGCATTGAGAAACAGAGTGGTAAAATTAATACACAATAAAAGGAGACAGGCCATACATATCTATCGCCAGATAAGAAACTTATAAGTAAATGAAATTAAAACTAGGTCATCACTTTGTTATGCCAGTCAAATGCCAACACTTGCTTCTAACAAAACATTTTACAATTCCTGGGAAATGTTACGCAAAATTCAGGGTTTCCTCATTCACTCCCTAGTTTAGAGAGTAGTTTCCGTACACCAGGTAATTTTCCAGATTCAAGTGACTGAAATACTGCTCTTGCATCTGTCAGGAATACCACGAGTTGTGAAATATGACATATATTAAGCAGTTTCTCTGCTGTTATTTTGATGACTTGAACTTCTGCATCATAGCTGTGACAGTGCTTTCCTGTTGGTATTTTGGCTGATATCTGGTATTATGTGGATACTCAGTATAAACTCCTGCTTCTTTATTTCTGCTTGTCGTTTGTGCTGACACATCCATGTAAACATGAACCGAAAGATCCTGTGGGTGTTCAACGTCAAGCAGACTGAGGGTGGCTGTTTTATGATGCACACTGTTTTGTTTTTCCTTATCAAATACTCCATTCACTTCTATCTGGATGTGTATTGTCAACTTATAAGCCTCTTTTCAGGAGCTCGGATCTGGACTAGCATTCCATGTCAGTAAAAAAAAAACAAATAGAGAGACTGAATGGTTGTTACTGTAGCTCTTCATTTATCGGAAACAATGCTCCAGCCACACATTATCAAATTTTTAAAGCTCCAGCAGCAGATGTCGCATAAGCTGAAAATTGTAATTTCCGTCCATAAGATGTGACCGACACACACATAAAACTGCAATCAACGTTTGTTTTTGTTTCTGTGTTTCGCTATCTGACAGGTGGGCCGAAAAACAATTGTGCATGTTTACCTAGGCTGCAGGTTTCAACAGGTTGAGGAATACTGTTCTAGTGTTACCATGAGGTGTGGTGTTCTGTTCCCTCTCTCACTGCCTTGTCTTCACAGACAATTTGAAAAACACTGCTCGTGTTACCATGAGGTGTGGTGTTCTGTTCCCTATCTCACTGCTTTGTCAACGCAGACAGTTTCCAGCCTCCTAAAAATAGGTACCAGAGAATTTAGATGACAGAGGTAGTGGTGGCGATAATGCTAGGGATGATTATGTTGAATGAGTCAGATACAATGGACAACAGCACTCACCACAAAGACAAACTCGGAATCAGATTTCGCAGTATACTGTCCATCTACAGTCACAGAGATGACACCACTGCTTTCAACGTCTACTTGTCCTGCTTCACACACAAACCTGAAAGAGACAATACATATTTTCCTAAGTGGTGTACATACACACATATCATTCATTTTTCATTCACTGACACCTTTTTGTCTTTCCAAACGATGAAGTGTTATACTGCGCTTTGAGGAGGCTTGGGACTCACAGCCCACGGTGATGGTGAGTGTGACTAGCAACACCCGCCCCTGTTAAGAAAAGTCTTCCACTGCTATAGAATGGGATTCAAGGACCGTTAGTGTCAACATTGGTGTTAAGTGTTTTTTCTCAGATGCTCTACTCTCATCCTTTCTGCAATAGTTTCTTCATTCTCTGTCCTTTCCTGTGGAAGACTTTTCTTAACGCGGGCTGGTCTTGCTAGTCACACTCGCACAACACAGTACATGGCATTTTGTTCTGAGTTCACCCTGGGAGCCAAGGTCATTTCTGAAGAAAGCCTGGTTACGTCATGTCTCAAACCTACGACCTTCTGATCCGCTGGCAAACATCTAGCTGTATCAACATCTTGCAGAATTTTATCAGTGATTCACTTGAAACAAATTTAACAACAAAATCCCCAAAATTATTTACCTGGTGGCAGGCTGGTAATGATCTGGCTTGACACTGCATGGCTTACCAGCCACTTCTGCACTGATGTCAGTGTAGCGTTTCCCCAGATTTATCCCGGTAACTGTGACCAAAGTGGAGCCTTTGATTGGACCAGTCGTGGGACTGAACTGTAAAGGTAACAAATACCCATGGTCAACTTTGAGATCAATGGCAATAGCAGACAAATAATGTTTAAAAAAGAATATATAGAAAACGATGCAACAATACACACAAAAACATGAATGCAAACAAAATTACTACACAAAACATATGATGATGGATAAATATTATGGAAAAGTCCAGGTAGTTGGTTAGAAATCTATGAGTGGGTTCTAGGCCCCATTTTGAAATAGAAAAAGTTCGACCCACTGCCCGCTGTCAAGCATGTCATAAAAGGTGATAAATTAGGGTACTGCTGAAACTGGATGTGCTGGGCCGAAATATGTATATATGGATATCCTAGTCTAGCTGTAAACCACAACACAGGGTGCCAACAGCCCTTTTAAGGTGGAGGGCAGAAGATGAAAAGGTTTTGATAGATTGCTGATTGCTATATACATACATCTGACAGCTTATATACAGCCAGTGGCATACAGCGACATACATACATTTCACAGCTTACAGATGGCAAAGTGGTAAACTATTTAAGTTCCAAAAGAATGTATTTTTGAGGTAGGAACAAACTTTATTTTCAAAAAGTTACAAATTGGGCCCGCAGGCCCATTTTACATTCTTTGTGATCACTCATCTTTCAGGTTTGTTTGCCTTCATTGGCTATAAACTCTAGCAGAAAGTCCCGGTTGCTCATCCACTGTCTGGACTTTGTTCCAGGACCTAAGTTTTGCATGTGCATCCATTTTACAGATCTGGCTTATTTGTATGCCGACTGTTAGTTCCTCGTCTCTCAGGCAGGGGCACTCTGATTTGGTTGAAAACCCCAAACAAGTCACCCCTTATGACATGCTTGTTAGGGAGAAGCGAGTCTATTCTTTCCTGCCCAAAATGAAGCCCCTGAGCCCACAAAAGGATACACATGCAGTGAAATAATGGTAAATACTCACTCTAGTTATCTGTGGGTTTGGGCAAGTCGCCGTTCGATCCAGCCAGTTGCTGGAGCAATGTTTCTGTAGCATACATTTTCCTTCACACTTTTTAGTGTCCCCACAGGAGCCCTGGCACCAGCCACACTCATACTCCTCGTCCATAGAGAGGCACTGGCCACAGTAGCTCACCATCTGTTGGCACTTGTATATACGCACTGTGGACAAATTGTTAGACACAAGAGCAATAGTTTACCCCTGATGGCACACTGGCTGGTAAAGTAAAAGTTAGCTATATAAAATTAAAGGTTAAGTCGAGATCAACATAACAGCATTGGGTTAAAACCGAATGTTTCGGTCTTATTCCACAGAATGGCTAGGCACCTAACAAGAGTATTACACAAAGCACAAACTCTGTAGTTCTGGCACCAATCCCCAGGGATCTTTGTAAAAATGCACTCATGAATCAAACAATGCAGCCATGAAATGAACGCATGACCTCAGTGTGCAAGGCAAAAGGTGCGACTACTTTCTCACAGAGATTCCCAGTTAACATTTATATATAACATAAAAGCAGAGGTGATATAGTTTCATACAAAGAAGTGGCTGGCGGGATGGTTAAGAAAGCTTGACTCTAATAGAGAGACCCAGATTTAAATGCATGTTGAGGTCGTGGAAGTTGGCAGACCTTGGCGGCAGCACTAGCCATGTAGGCTCAGCCACCCCTTGACTACACCACAAAAGGGATAAATAACAGGCAATAACAATCAGTTCCACAGCAGATACTACTGAAAGAGGCAGCCAAAAAGAAGCATGGGCAGAGGAGATATCATCTACACTGGACTAGGCTAGTAGATAACAATGAATCTTTGACACTTAACATGATTATGTGACCTAGGAGTAGTTTAGTTTAGTCAAGAATTGACATTACAGCACTCGGGACATTCCCATGCATGCTCTGTCCTCATCTTTAGCAGCCAGTGCAGAGTTCCAATACTGATGGTACTGGTCACAATCTGGTTATAAGTCCACCTTGCCCTTCCTCTGAGTGTAGTGAGCTGGCCAGACCTTTTGGTTACACCCAGGTGCCTCATTCTCTTCAGGCCATAATTAATATTATTTCTCTACTGATTCCGTTGCTTGTTCCCAAAAGAACTTGACCACATCTGCCTTGTCATGTATCAATTCACCACCCACTGGTGCAGATCCAGCCAATCTATCTGCCTGTTCATTACCCACTATGCAGGCATTGCCTGGAAAAAAGATCCGAAGTATGCTCACTACCAATGACCTTCCCAGTGAAGTTTGCCACTCTAGACCTAGGAGTCAAGATTACTGAAACTTGTCAATGCCACCTTCGAGGCCAAGAAGATAGAAGGTATTATAATCAACTACTCATGGTCATGATCAATAGAGGACCGTGGACTGGCTGCTGCATCGGAGGACTTAGCATACAAGGGAATGCCCAATGTGTAGTGATGATATAACACTACATAACATAACCCAAGCAGATACACCTGTTAGAGTGTTAAGTGTCAGTTAATTGTATATCCTTTACAGGAATTTGCAGAATACCCCGACATTTTTTTGGGCTGCTTGTGATTTCACCAGGCAACATTTATTTTCAGTTGCAACTGCTTTCTGAATGATCTGCTCTTGATACCACTGTTGAAACCAATGTAATGCTGTCTGCCACCAAATCACCCATGACCCGGACTAAACCCGGCACTACAAAGCAGGTTCACACTGTTAAATGTTAGACCAGCATATATTCTTGGCTATGACATATGAGATGGGGTAGTCAGGTCCTTTCTTTATTATCTTCCTTTCTAGATAACTCCCAGAAATTCTGGAATAACAAATTTTTCTTTAAAGTTTGATCAGAAATTCATCTGTCTTAGGGGTTATGAATGCTGTTTCATAATCCCAACATAGGTCGGAAACCACTTACAAATGTCTCCTGCCAAATGGCATGCAGGTGAAGCTTATCCATGTTTCTGTAATAATTAGACTGCAATTATAAATCTAAAGCCACAGATGCCTGCAGCTGACTCAGAATGATGCTGCATGACAGCAAATCTTTTTGCACAGATTTCTTCTGACTGACTGACTGACTGACTGACTGACTGACTGACTGACTGACTGACTGACTGACTGACTGACTGACTGACTGACTGACTGACTGACTGACTGACTGACTGACTGACTGACTGACTGACTGACTGACTTTCTACCCCACCAGGACATCACACAAGCGATAAACACCCGATGACACAATGTGCCACCATATGGGTGAGGATCACCGTGGAGAGGCCCCAGAAACCGCGTTCAGCCCTTAGGCCACATTTATGGTCAAGCTATATTGTGGCCCCTGGCATAAGCCAGAGTAGGGTCTCAAATAACGAAAAAATTCATCCCAAATGGGACAAGGAATAATATTTCTTCTGAGCATTAACTGGCTTTATATATAGTCCAGCAAAAAGAGATGACTGTTCTTACACTTCTGGAGTTTGGTCTTGTTTCAGAACTTGAGTTCTGCATGCACATCCATTTTACAATCTGGCTTATCTGTAAGCAGACTGTTGGTTTCTCACCACCGAGGCAGATGCACTGCCACTACAAAGGAAACTCCCCTAATTAGTTGACTTTTATGGTATATTTGTTGAGAGGGTAGGGGGCTAGACTACACTTCTTCTTTTTGTTCACAGGCTGTAAGCTCCGGCAGAAAGTCCTGGTTGTGACTTTGTGCCAGGGCCTGGGTTTTGTGTGTACAACCGTTTTATCAACTTTTTTGTGTGCATTTGGTAGTTTTTTGCCACTCGGGCAGAGACACTCTGACTTCGAAGGAAGACCCCAATTAGACGACTCCTATGACATGCTTGTTGGGGAGGCAGTGAGTCTTTTCTTGTTGTCCCCACAATGGAGCCCAGAAACCCACACAGGGAACTCCATATACATTAAGAACATACCTTGAATTCCACTAGGGTTATCAAGGGGTAAATTCAGTGGTCCCCACGTCACTCTGAAATCTGCAATCGCATATGGACTGTCCCCATCAAAGCTGAACTGTATGTTAAAAAGTTCTTTTTGTTATTTATTCAAAACAAAATTACCAGACATGAACAGTTTAGAGAAAAAAAAACAGAAGCACACAATTACAACATATGATATGTAAAAGAAATGCACTAAGAACAATGGTAGGCACAGTACTGGTAAATAAATGGTTTCACAGAACATCAATACATCAAATGATTTGGTCATCTAGTCAGAACAGAACAAAACTAGCCAGTACCTAGAGTATACTACATAAGAACAGCAGGCTACAAGGCAAGAGGCTGACCAAGAAAGAGATAAACAGAGAGAGTAAAAGAGACACTACAGAAACACAATATGGTATTAACATAAGCTCCACAACTAGATGTAGCTACAGGATTGGTGGGGGACATTTTAAGCTGAAATGCTATAGAAAGTAGGGCTGTACCGAATATTCGCTTCGGGGCCGAATAGTGGACCTAATAACTATTCGGTATTCGGCCGAATAGTTGCGGTCGGGCCGAATATGAATAGTGGTTACCTTACTCCCGTTTCTGCATACACTGTGATGGACTGAAATAACTCTCTCATTGACACCGGAAGTATTGTCACACTCAACAGGCGATGTAGAGAAGAGAATCCTGTTGCTGTTAATGCAGAGGTCAACGCTCTCTCATCGGCAAAAAACGAGACGCACACCAGACACGCCAGAAGACTTGTTAATCAACATAGAACTGGTACTATTAGCCATCGGACGTTGGGGTTCATACTGAGGGGAGGATCTGAGCACCTATGGACATGTCCGGAGTGCAATGAGGATAACCCAACTAACTAACTAGCTAACTAACTAACTAACTAACTAACTAACTAACTAACTAACTAACTAACTAACTAACTAACTAACTAACTTTCTCTCATTAACACAATAGTTTCTGTTGTCTTAGTCTGTCGTGGAAGCTGTGACCCGGTTGCGTGGTACAAACTGCATAAAATGCCAACCAATGCGTGTGTGTGTGTGTGTGTGTGTGTGTGTGTGTGTGTGTGTGTGTGAGTGAGAGAGAGAGAAAGAGAGAGAGAGACAGAGAGAGAGAGAGACAGAGAGAGAGAGAGAGAGAGAGACAGAGAGACAGAGAGAGAGAGACAGAGAGAGAGAGAGAGAGAGAGAGAGAGAGAGAGAGAGAGAGAGAGAGAGAGAGAGAGAGAGAGAGAGAGAGAGAGAGAGAGCTCATGTATTTTTTTGTTTTTTCAGGGTGCCTTCGCCCAAATCAAATCTGAAGATATTGCTAACGAGAATATGAAGGTGCGTTTAAATTACATCAAATAAACGGCTGAGCGAACGATGGTTTTGAAAGAGGCGGGAGCCCGAAGACAACTAATCACAGACATCAGAAGGAAACAGTCGTCATTTTTCAGCCGTGTTATGAGAAGAGGGAAAATGGAACATTTAGTGACTAATGGAAAGATATATGAAAGGAGGGATAGAGGAAGACAACGATAGAAGATTCTTGACAGTCTTGTTGCAAGGCCTGGAGGTGTGTCAGCACACGAACCGATACATGCTGCAGCAGATAGCAGATTGTGGAGACGCATGATCACACACACCATTAGGCAAGTCACCTGATGATGATGATACACTATTCGTATTCGGCCGAATAGTTGGTCCCACTATTCGTATTCGGCCGAATAGTGAAAATCACTATTCGGTATAGACCTAATAGAAAGATTCTTTGAATACCATGGACAAATAAAAGAATAAATACTGACATTTTAAAAGATCTGAATATCAAGAAAAGTTGGCTAATAAACAGTATCTTGACTCGGAAGCTGAAATATTTTGGTCATATCAAGTGCCATGGCGGACAGGAAAAAAATATTAACAGACGGCATGGTATCAGGAAGGAGGGGCAGGGGCCGACCAACATGAAGATGGGCACAAGATAAAGGTGACTCCTTGAATATGAAAGTACAAGAGGAGGGAGAGCCAGCGAGAGACCGAGTTCTGCAAAGTACCTGCTACATGATGATGACAAAACCAGCAAAAGACAGAAAACTACATCAAACTCCTCTTTTTGATGCTTCATGGCACAAGCAGTAAAACAAAGGAAGTAGAAGATATCAAACAAATAAATATGATGCAATGAGGCAGCTTCCTAGTGGCTGGTGCAACAAGAGGGCACTGTTTGTTGCCTGTTTGGCTTTTGTTTTCATCACTGTTAGTTTTGACATGTTCCTTCTTCGTCTTAACATTGACAGGCTGTGATCTTCAGCGGAAGGTTCTGGTTCTTCATCTGCTTCTGGCCTTAATTCTTGTTACAGAACTTGAGTTTTGTGTGCACATCCATTATACAGATCTGATTTATCTGTATGCAGACTGTTTGTTCCTAGCCTCTCAGGCAGATACACTCCAACTTCAAAGGGGAAAGCCCTCATAAGTTGACTCTTACGACATGCATGTTAGACAGGGGGTGGGTCTATTCTTTTCTACTCATCTAATGAAGACATGAAACCCATACAGGGAGTTGTCTGTTTGAAAAGCTGGATAAGATTATTATTATAATTACGATCAAAAGTAGGGAGCTATCGTGGTGTAGTAGCTAGATGCTCACCTGCAGATCAGAAGGTAGTGGGTTTGGGACCTGAGAAATCCTGACTTCTTTTTTTTTTAAATGACCTTGGCCCCTAGGTCAACCCAGCTTAAGTGGGCATCATGTAAAGTCATGGACAGTAGCCGGCATAATGTTGACCATATCACCCACCATGTGCTGACTAGTCTATAAAATACAGGTCTAGCCCTATATGCCCAATATGCAATAAGCATGAAAGAGGGTCCTTTACTTTACTTTTACAATCAAATGTAATTGTGACAGCCCTTCGGGCAAGTCCATTTACGAGAAAAAAAATCTCTGACATTAAGTCACCATGTGTGTGCGCAGATGCATGCATGCATACATGCACACACACACCTGCCTCTTAACAAACATGCTGTAAAAGGCAACTAATTTAGAGTTTTCTGAAATCGGATGTATTCGGCTGAAAGGCACAGATACTGCAGCCTAGTTGTAAACCACAACACAATAATACAACAGACAAAAAATACTGGGAAAGTAGATATTTCTAACAAAAATAATACCTAAAATGGTTCATACTGAGAAAATGAAACAACAGCAAGATAACAAAACAGTATAAACTTTTGCGTACCTGAAGAGAATTACAAGTCAAACTGGATGAAGTTATGGTGGCATCAACAATTTTAACTTTCCCAGAATGGGTAAAGGCGCATTTCACATTCGAAGTCTGGCCATCCTAGATTTAAAAATTGTTACAAAACCATTTTATTTTTATAACAATAGGTACATAAGCTGTGGTTGTCTTCTCATTGTCTGATGGTAAGTGGTTTTCTTATCACTGTCTGATGGTCAGTGGTTGTCTTATCATTGTCTGATGGTGAGTGGTTATCTTATCCTTGTCTGATGGTCAGTGGTTCTCTTATCATTTTCTGATGGTCAGTGGTTGTCTTTTCATTGTCTGATGGTCAGTTGTTGTCTTATCATTGTCTGATGGTCAGTGGTTGTCTTATCATTGTCTGATGGTCAGTGGTTATCTTATCATTGTCTGATGGTCGGTGGTTATCTCATCATTGTCTGATGGTCAGTGGTTGTCTTATCAATGTCTGATGGTCAGTGGTTGTCTTATCACTGTCTAATGGTCAGTGGTTGTCTTATCATTGTCTGATGGTCAGTGGTTGTCTTATCATTGTCTGATGGTCAGTGGTTGTCTTATCATTGTCTGATGGTCAGTGGTTGTATTATCATTGTCTGATGGTCAGTGGTTGTTCTATCATTGTCTGATGGTCAGTGGTTATCTAGTGGCAAGTGCTGTTTTTACTTTCACAGTGGAACCAAGTAGCTCATTCTAGCAGAAAACTATGCCAAAGACGGAAAGGGGCAGATAGTCAAGAAAGATGTCAAAGCCAAACCTGAGAATGATGGTACCAGACAGCTTCTCCCAGTAAAGTCAGAGACTGGCCAGTCGCCTTAAATAAAAACCACTAACAGGGAGAATGTAGAGAAGACGCCCCTTTGATTTTGTCCGGAAAAGGATTATTGTAAGCCTCCTATTTAATAGCCACATGTAGAACACCCACCTGTGCATTCATGACACGAACAGCAATCTGCTTCTCCTGACCAGAATGGACAAGTATCCCCGAATCTTTGGACTGTGACCAGATTTTAGGGCAGCTGTCTGCGGCATCTATCCAGGTTGCCTGAATGAAGACAAAAATATAATTTTAAAAAATCAGGAATTCTCATTTAATATTTTATTACGGCTAACTTCAATTCTTTCCCGGAAAAAGATTCTAAAATAATTAGACAACAGGAAAAGAATACTTATTGGCAAGAGAAAAATAACAGTAACTCTTTTACTATCACACTGAAAGAAAACATGTGCTACTGAAGAAAAGAATACTTATATAGTTGCTTCTGATTCAGCCAGAGGTGTCTACAATTTTATCTGCAACATTTTAATTCAACTGCATGACTCTTTAACACCACGTACCTTTACAGAATAAAATCTAATTGAAGTAATTCTAACCGCTTGAATTTAAATTAAAACCGTGTATGAATTCTAACGAATTATTTCTAACCTCATGCATCTGACCTGTGTGTGTTACAACTGTATGAATTATAACTGCATGAATTTGAACTTTATTTTTATTTTGTGAAGTCCAACTGAATGAATATTAACTGCATGAATTTGACATGTGTGTATTATAACTGCATGAATTTGAACTGTGTGTATTATAAATGTGTGAAGTCCAAATGAATGAATATTAACTTCATGAATTTGACCTGTGTGTATTATAACTGTATGAATTAAAACTGAATTAACTCTAGCTGCATGAATCTGACCTGTGTGTATTATAACTGTATGAATTGTAACTGAATTAATTCTAACTGCATGAATTCATGAATTTGCACTGTGTGTAATTTAACTGTGTGAAGTCTAACAATTATTTATAAGGCTTGAATTTAAACTGTTTGTATTGTAACTGTGTGAAGTTTAACAATTATTTATAAGGCTTGAATTTGAACAGTATGTATTGTAACTGTGTGAAGTCTAACAATTATTTATAAGGCTTGAATTTTAACTGTATGTATTGTAACTGTGTGAAGTCTAACAATTATTTATAAGGCTTGAATTTGAACTGTATGTATTGTAACTGTGTGAAGTCTAACAATTATTTATAAGGCTTGAATTTGAACTGTATGTATTGTAACTGTGTGAAGTCTAACAATTATTTCTAAGGCATGAATTTAAACTGTATGCATTGTAACTGTGTGAAGTCTGACAATTATTTCTAAAACATGAATAACTGTATGCATTGTAACTGTGTGAAGTCTGACAATTATTTCTAAAACATGAATAACTGTATGTACTGTAACTGTGTGAAGTCTAACAATTATTTCTAAGGCATGAATTTAAACTGTATGTATTGTAACTGTGTGAAGCCAAACAATTATTTCCAAGGCATGAATTTATTTATACTGTATTTATTGTAACTGTGTGAAGTGTAACAATTATTTCTAAAGCATGAATTTAAACTGTATTTATTGTAACTGTGTGAAGCCTAACAATTATTTTTAAGGCATGAATTTAAACTGTATGTATTGTAACTGTGTGAAGTCTGAAAATTATTTCTAAGTCATGAATTTAAACTGTATGTATTGTAACTGTGTGAAGTCTGACAATTATTTCTTACTGTATGTACTGTAATTGTGTGAAGTCTAACAATTATTTCTAAGTCATGAATGTAAACTGTATGTATTGTAACTGTGTGAAGTCTAACAATTATTTCTAACTGTATGTATTGTAATTGTGTGAAGTTTAACATTTATTTTTAAGGCATGAATTTAAACTGTATGTATTGTAACTGTGTGAAGTCTAGCTGAATAAGCTCTAGCTGAATGAATTTGAACTGTGTGTTCGTCTTGAGCAGTCTGTTGCCTATCACACCTGTGCCTATATGCAAGAATTTGATCTGCAAATGTCAATATCCTACCAACACTTTTAGTTCTGCAATTTTGCTTGTGTAAACATTAAAGAGCACTGGTGACACTGCACGCCTTATGTAGGTAGTCCCGGGGCCATATTAAATGGCTCTGAGGTTCACGAACCATGACTGAGAGCAATGATACTTGAAAACAGGACTGCCGCCATTCAAATCACCAGCCAGTGACAGAGCTCCCTTTTCCCTGAGAGCAGATATCAAAATATCATATCTAACGATATTAAGGCATCCTTAAGATCAATTAAGTTCTACCAGCACTGTCTCCTAGTCTATTCTGGAACCCTTTATAAACATCAAAAGCATTAGTAGCCACATTTGACCAGGTATCTAACTTCACGAATTGAACTAGTGTGTATTATAACTAGAGCTGTACTGAATAGGTGATTATCACTATTTGGGCCAATACGAACAACATGACCAACTATTCGGCCAAATTCGAATACTGTATAGTGTATAAAATAGATCTTAAAAAAATTCATAATGTCAAATGCACGTTGAACTTTTACTTCACAAAATGTTGTACAGAACAGTAAACATTTAAAAACATTTTATGTTTTGCATCCTTCAGTCAGTGTTAACTAATAACTAGGAAAATAAAGTATTTTAAGTATTACCACAAGTACCTAAACCTGTAAATTGTCACTGACAGCTTAGTTAATGCATGAAAGCTGCATTAGCTTTCAACAAAACCAATCATTCCATATTGTTAGCATTTAGGCAGCTTTTTATCTCACTGAAGGTATTTCCAGCAGTACTAAACAGACGTTCACTTGGTAGGCTCATTTGTGGTGCACAAAGATAACGCTTGACAGTACGAACCAAGGTGGGAAATCTTGACATGTTTATTTTACACCAACCTAATGGGTCAGTGTCTATGGAATACACAGCTCTGACAGACAGTTATTCACTTCTGTTTCAATGGTAACTTGAATGCCGCTATTCTGTGCCTCAACAGGCTGCTATCGATTCAGTGAGGTCCAAAAGTGGTAAGGTTTCATTTTGTTGTTGTTGCTGGGAGTTCTTTGTCAGCTGCAGGATAAACTTGTGGCTGTAGATGTAGATGACTGGCAATTTAATGTAGCAGTCACAATGTTTGTCCTGGCTTGTAACTGTTGCAAATTGGTAAAAGCCAGCTGAGATTGCATACAAGCTATTTTCATACAAGTCCGAAAATCTCCTCATCACTGATGCTACTAGTTAGCTGAGTGTCTTCTTGATGCCCTGATCATACACATCTTTCTGAAAATACAACAGGATAGGAGGATCACTGAAAACAGGAATTGTTGTCGCTTATTTCACGTGTCTTTTGTTTAAATGGCTGCAGAATTGCAACAATTCTTGTTGCTAGAACCCACTGGCTTGTTGTCAGTGTTAGAGCCTTCTTGTTCTTCTCGTCACATTCAGCAATATGCAGAGACAGCTCTTTTTTTTTTCTGCTCGATTAAACACTCCAGCATCTGGTACATGGAACTCCACCTGGTCACTACTACATCCTGATGCAACTGGTGTTTTGGCAGTCCGATTTGTTCTTGAATGGCGTGGAGGCTGGTGGCTGCACTCAATAAACTTATAAAATGTCCCACAATCTATCGTGAGAGTGCTATCAAGTCAGCAACAAATAGCTATGTCAGAGTGGAGTCACGTAGAGCCAGCTGCAGTGTGTGTGCAAAACAACTCACGTTAGGAAGATTTGCATCACGTATTGCTTTCACCATGTTAGCCCCTCCATCACGTATGACCAAGTGGACACGTTGCTTTCCTATTTTCCGCTGATTCATCATGTCCAGCAGAGCGTCAGCTTGTCGACTTCCAGTGTGTTGACCTTCAAACTTTTGACCCTAAAAGACAGCAGCTTGGTGTGTTAACTTTTCATCAATCCAATGCACTGTTAAAACTCAAGAAAGATGATGTTGTTATCTGTAGTTGTGTCACACAAATTTTGCTTGCTGAGGGCAGCCTGGACACAACCCTTGACTGTATAATGCATCTCAGGTATGATTTTTTTGCTGAAGAGTTTGCGGCTTGGCAGCACATATCTTGATTCAAGTGCATCAATCAGTTCTTTAAAGCCACTATCGTCAACAACTAAATATGGCTAGATGTCAATGGCAATCATTTTTCCAATAGAACGGTGCACTTTTTGCGCCTCTGGGCTGTCAATCGACCACTACTTCTTGTTAATGACATCACTTAGCGTTTGTTAAGTCCTTCCCCTCTGCTGAATGCCAGATGTCGAACTTGCTGAAGCTGATGCTGCTGATTTCTGCTTTATGATCTGTTTGTACTCATCCAGATGTTTATACGACAAGTGATTATTGAGTGGAGTTGTTGTGAATGACTTCGTCAAACTACCTCCACAAGAAATGACTGTGTTGCATAACTGACACTGTGCTTTTGTTTCATCGTTGAAAATCTTAAAGATTTTCAAAATTGGCCATTTATCAATTGCTGTATAATGATTAATGTTATATAACGAAACTTTTATTGAAATTTAATTAAATTAGTAATTAAAAAGTTATTAAAATACGTCAACTAACACTTCACCGGCTCAAGCTTCAAACGCTGAATGTCAACCAGGGACTAAACTGATACTGTAATGCCTCGGTCGAGTCAGCAGGCAATGACCTGGTCAGCCCCTGTACCACACCACTGGCTTGCCGTCCCCCGCTGTGGCAGACTGCAGCTATTGTATTATTTGAGAGTTATTTTAGTCCCCTTGCAGTGGCTACAGCAGCCACTGTGTATGCAGAAGCGGGTGTAACGTATCCATTATTCGTATTTGGCCTGACGACAAGTATTCAGCTGAATACCGAACAGTTTTTAGGTCTACTATTCGGCCCCGAAGCGAATGTTCGGTACAGCTCTAATCATAACTGTGTGAAGTCTAACTGAATAAATTCTATAACTACACAAATTCGAAATGTAAATATTTTGTCATAGACGAAAACAAAAGTTGAACTGCTGATATATACAGGCATTACACTTTCGGTCATTAAAACCTTAACAACAAGACAAGACAAACTTTTTGGGTTATAACAGAAATAGTGGAATAAGGAAACTAGCTTTATGCTGGAAACTTTTATTTATAGAATAAAATAATTAATGAACAGCAAAAAGACCTTAAATTAAATATGTTCTGTCACTTACGGTGCTTCCGTCTGGATGTGCACATCCAACCCGAGGTTCTACGCATCTCCCAGTAGCATAGCACCACTTGCAGTCAAACGTACTTTTTGCGCAGCTTTCACATCTGTAATACATGGACCTGAGCGATTAGCTATGCAGACATTACTATGCTACGTTTTCTACATTCATTTAGTCACTTTTCTCCGAATATCCCATATATGTTATGTTAGGATAGACCTCACCAAAGTACTGAAAAGTAGTCTAATCCATATTTTGTATTCTCCATAGTCACCACATTTCTACATGTTTCAAATATCCAGCCAGATTTCTGAAGTGTCTCAGACCAAATGTAAATGATAATACAACACACTGAATTTCCCCAGTCACCAGATTTTTACACGCCAAAATATCTAGCCAGATTTCTGGAGTGTCACAGACCAAATGTAAATTAGATAACAATATACCATGTGTTGTTTTACATATATGGACTGGTTCATAACACTTGGCATACCAACTTAGAGAGAAAAATTAACAATATTACATATAAACAGACCCTTTTCCACTCCTTCAGGCATATTGGGCATATAATAAGTAAAGGTCTCTTTTCCCCAGCTTTAGGCTTATAGGCCATATGGGGCAAGACCTATATTTTTATAGACCAATCGGCACAAGATGGGTGATGTAGTCAGAATCACACTGGCTTCCTTTACTTCCCAGGACTGCACCCGGTACCCACTCAAGGCTGAGTCAACCTGGGAGTCAGTAATTTTTTTGTTTTTTAGTCCGGCTTCACCAGGAAGCAACCCCATGACCTTCTAATTTGTCTAGCCACTATGCCACAGCGACTCCCCTGGGTATATAATACTAGACCTTCATTTTATAGACCAGTCGGCAAATGATGTGGTCAACATCATACTGACCACTTTTACTGCCCAGACTTTACCTTAAACCCCTTTAAGCTGGGTCTTTTCTGAAACATGTCTGGCTCCATTTGGATTTGAACCAACAACCATCAGATCCACAGGCGAGAATCTAGCACCTACACCAGGGTTTTTCAAATTGTGGCCCATGGGCCAAATTAGCAACTTGCCTACAAATATTTGCCAGTTGTACTGTATTCATGATTTCTCTACACTGGGGCAGGGCTTCTGGCCAGTGATGGTCCCCATTGTCAAAATGGTGGCCTCAGAATGACATAGCTGAATAGCCCTGCCCTTCACTCTGGTGGGAACAAGGGATGAGAATAGACCCACTGTCTACAAACAAGCACTTCACTGAAAGCGACTAATTAGGCAGTTGTTGAAATCAGATGTGTTAGGCTGGATGGCATAGATATCACAGCCTAGTTTTAAACTGCAACACAACATGTCAACCCCATTTTTAAGGGTGAAAGTAGAAGGAGGAGGAGGAGAATGCAGAAGAAGAAGAAGCAGCAGCAGGAGTAGAAGAAAGGAGAAGGAGTATTATGAAGAAGAGAATGAAGATGTTGACAAATACGAGGAGGACAAAGAAGATGAAGAAGAAAAAGAAGATAAATGAGGAAGAGAAGACGAAGAAGACAACAAACACTGAAACAGCACAAAATGAACCAAACGTACGATGTGTGAGCACTGCAGTTGTAGATGGAGACACTCCTAGTCACAATTGATCTGCCTTTAACATGGAAATGTACAGAAACTTGTTCATGATCTGAAATTAAAAAAAAAAATTTTTAAACATTGTTTAAACAATTTGAACATTCAAATGCATAGGTGTACTGATTAAAATCTTAAAGTTTTTATGACTGTATTACTTATTTCACCACCTTTAAAGTTCTTTTCTCAAAAATTGTCTTCATTCCTTCACTTCCTGTTCTGCTTCAAGCTGAATTGAGTTGAATTATAAACCAACAATGCAGCACTTGGGATATTCTCATAAACACTCAATCCCCATCTTCAGCAGCTAGCTGAGTTCTAATTCCACTGACACCAGTAGCAATCTGATTGTATGTTCATCTTTCCTTCCCTTTGAGTACTGAGTGTCAGCCAGATTTGCTTCCCTGGACATTTCCCGCTTAACCATTCTCTTCAGACCAGAATGATCTAGTTGTACCTCCACACAACAGTCTGGACAGTGTGGATTACTGCAACAGCTGTCTGGACAGTGTGGATTACTGCAAAAAGCTGTCTGGACAGTGTGGATTTCTGTAACAGCTGTCTGGACTGTGTGGATTACTGCAACAGCTGTCTGGACTGTGTGGATTACTGCAAAAAGCTGTCTGGACAGTGTGGATTATTGTTAATACTGTCTGGACAATGTGGATTACTCTAACAGCTGTCTGGTCAGTGTGGATTACTGCTAATACTGCTGATACTGTCTTGACAGTGTGAATTACACAACCGTCTGGACAATGTGAATTACTGCAACCACTGTCTGGACAGTGGGGATTACTGTAAAAACTGACTAGGATGTATTGATTACTGTACTGACTGTCTAGTTTAAACAAAGTTATGACAGTTTAGAATACTATACAGACTGTCTGGTCCATGTGGATTACTTTTTTGACTGTCTAAGACAGAAAGGTTTAACAAAGTTATAACAGCGTGGATTACTTTACCAACTGTCTGGACAGTGTGAATTACTGTACTGACTGTCTAGGACAGAAAGGTTTAAACAAAGTTATGACAGTGTGGATTACTGTACCGACTACTTTACCAACTGTCTGGACAGTGTGGATTACTGTACCGACTGTCAAAAACAGAAAGGGTTAAACAAGGCTATGACAGTGCAGATTACTGTAAGAACTATCTAGGAATGAAAGAGTTAATCAATGCTATGTCAGTATGGATTACGGCACTGACTTTTAGGACAGAAAGTGTTAAACAAAGCTATGACAGTGTGGATTACTGTAAGAACTGTCTAGGAAAGAAAGTTAATCAATGCTATGTCAGTGTGGATTACGGCACTGACCTTCTAGGACAGAAAGTGTTAAACAAAGCTATGACAGTGTGGATTACTGTAAAAACTGTCTAGAAAAAAAAAAACAGAGTTATTCAATGCTATGGCAGTAAGGTATACTGTGCTGGCTGAAGTTAAAATGACAACTGGAGCAGTATGGCACTGTTTCACTATCTGTTCAAGACCTAGTTTTCAAATTCTGTCACACACAGAAGAGAAGATAAACTCACACAAAGAGGGACAACACCAACCTTACTCACCCTTACCCTGGGGTATTTTGGCAAGTTTGCCCACTTGGGGAAGTGGGCAGGTGATATGGCGATCATTTGAAATGGACGCAGGAGTACGGTGCTGCATGTCCCCAGATTTATACATGCAGCCAAGGTCGAGGTCTTTGGATGAGGTCAGGAGAACTGACTCGAGTGAGAACTTCAATAACTGCAAGGTAACAGAAAAATGGATGACACATTTATTTACACCAGTGTTTCCCAAACATTTCTTAGTCGCAGCGCCTTTTTCCAATTAAAATTTTTCCGCGGTGCCCTAACCTAAGTAAAAGTATGAATGACTATTCATTTGTGAGAGATAAAAAAAAATAACTTCAGATATTTCGCGGCGCCCCTGTGAAGAGGTTGTGGCTCCCCAGGACGAACAGTTTGAGAATCACTGGTTTCCACATTAACCATTTATACGCTTCTCTTATTCTTCTTCAGCATTCAGAGTCCTTGAGGTTCAGCGCTAAAGATATCCCCTGCCTCCATTATCTCTGTGACTGGCCTTTTCTTTCCAGCTGGTTACCAAGTGTTTGTGGGTTTCTTCTTTTTCTGCCTTTCTAGCTCCCCAATGGAGCAAAAACCCTCAACCAACTCATGTCAAATTGTTCTATCTTTTGCTTTCGTAAGCAGCTCTCCCAATGTCCTCCTTATATTTCTAGCTTCATTCTTCAGCTCCCTTCTTCATGTGTTATTTTTTTTTTTTTGGGTCTTCCTTTATTCCTATGCCTCTGTGGGTTCCAGTGCAAAGGCATTCTAGTTATATTGCTCTCCGATCTTCTCAATGTGTGTCCTATCCAGTGCCAGCGTCTTTTCTTTAACGCTTGGTCCACTTGAGCTTGCTTAGTTCTCTCCCAAAGCTCTACATTAGTGATCTATCATACCATTTTATTACCTCTATTCTGCGCAATCATCAGTTAAAGAATGTCTGTAGTTTATTAGCAATTACCTTAGTTGTTCTTAATGTTTCCACTAAATACAAAAGTACTGATATGACAATGGAATTAAAAATTTTAAGTTTAGTATTTCTTTTAATTTCTTTTGACCTCCACAAATTTATTAGTGCAATGAAATTTTGTAAGTTTGCCTGTATAAAATCTCTCCACGCTGTCTACTTGATCTGCCATATGTTCTACTCCAAGTGAACTCTTTTGAATAGTTTTTCTTTATGTGGCATTATCTGTCATTTATTCTATATTTCCTATTAATTGGAGTTAGCCCTCAGGATGCCAGCTAAAATTAGTCCCGACTTATTTATTATGAATCTTGTGGTTTCCTCTTGGTCTTCATTCTCCGGCTTCAGATGGTCGGTAACAAATATGTGGCCTGCTTGATATGCCCATCATGTCTCCTGTTTTTATGAATCCACATCAATAACTGTATCTTTCATGTCCCATTTGCACAGATAATATTGTTACTGTAGCAGAGGCTGACCTTAATATCTTCTACCCATCTCATGCAGTGAAAGATGCAGTATGACCATAAAGCACTACAATGTTATCAATGCATCATGAATTCAAACAATACATCAAGTTGCATATTTTTTTTTTTTCATTACTATTTGTATTATTATTCTTCATTCACAGTGGGAAAACAAATTATATGATAAGCTCTTCAACTTCTTCCTTTCTCCGTTAATTACAGTGGAAAACAAATTATATGATAAGCTCTTCAACTTCTTCCTTTCTCCGTTCATCACAGTGGGAAACAAATTATATGATAAGCTCTTTAACTTCTTCCTTTCTCTGTTCATCACAGTGGGAAATATTATATGATAAGCTCTTCAACTTCTTCATTTCTTCGTTCATCACAGTGGGAAGTCTTATATGATAAGCTCTTCAACTTCTTCATTTCTTCGTTCATCACAGTGGGAAATATTATATGATGAGCTCTTCAACTTGTTCCTTTCTTCGTTCATATCAAAAGAGAGAAAAAAAGCCCTTAATAAAATCCTTTAAGTCTTTTTGTAAACCTGTTAATGACCAGTTGTATTTTAGACTTGGTGACTGACCGGTCAATATTATGCTAGCCATTTTGTATTTCTGGACATTTCCATTCTTCTTCTTCTTGAACTTACCGTCAAAATGGACGCCAGGCACGGTCACCTTCGAGGCAAATTTCTTGCTTCTGCCAGACGGTGGCTGTGGCATTTTTGATCCATTTATAGACAAAGGATATAGTTTCGTCGCCCAACTTCTGAGTTGAGTGCATGGCATGACCCTATGAACTGTAGATTTCATTTGGAATGTTTTTCGACTGCGACCAACGTGGTGTTGTGAACTGTAGATTAAGAAAATGGCTCATGACCTGTCACGGCAATATTGATGGTGCCCTTATGAGATTAATATTTATCGCGTGTACAACTGCTGATCTGTTGGTAACTTCTGCTACCATCGATGATGAACTGCATTTCTAATGTCAAACTGTTTGTGTTAGCGTGTGAATGCTAGTGCAAATGCTGAGATAGCGTTGTTTTCTGTAAAAACTGCCTTGGCTTGCAGGTCAACCCAGCCTTAAATGAGCACCAGGTTAAGTCATGGAAGTAAAGTTGACAAGCGTGCTGCTGACCACATCACAGACTTCCGGTCAAAATGGACGCCAGGCATGGTCACTGTTTTGAGTGGTGACTAATTTTTTGCTTCTGCCAGACGGTGGCCGTTGCATTTTTGCTCCATTTGTAGAATAAAAAGATAGTTTCGTCACCCAGCTTCTGAGCTGAGTGCATGTGAGCTGCGGATTTCATTTGGCATGTTTTTTTACTGTGACTAATGTGGTGGTGTAAAAATAACTTTTCTAATGATGTGCTTTGGCAAACAGTAACTAAATCTCGAGTAGAAAAAAAGAGTTTAAAGTATTTTTATTATGTCCTCTGTTGTTATGAATCCACATCAATAACTGTATCTTTCATGTTCCATTTGCACACATATTTGTAACGTAGTAGAGGCTGACTTCAACATCTTCTACCCACCTCATGTATTAAATCCTGCAGTATGACCATAAAGTCCTACAAATAAAGGACTAGAAGTACCTTGTCATTACTGGCGGACTCTTGTAGAGCCTGGTAACTGATAACGCTTGGATCCACATCAGATATGTTCAAGCAGGTATTCTCAGTCGCTGGCAGCCAACTTGGTGTAAAAGCAGAGGCTGAACAAGGTTCCTTCAGGGTGCAACTGTTCTCCATGACACACCAGCCACACAAGGGGTCAATCCCATCAACACACTGGTCACATGACTGTCTACCCTCACAATGATTGGTGTTTATAAGGTAAACCTGCAATAAGAAATCAATCCATTGAAATGTGGCTAAAAAGTTTAAGGAAAAGAGGAAGGGGAACAATGTGTACACACAAGAAAAATGTGATGTTTTGGCCAGAACCTTTCTCTACACAAAGCACAACAGCAACAAAAGGCAGAGAATCCTGCCCACGAGTACCCAAACAGTTTCCAAGTATAAAATTCAGGAATAGGAAAAGGTGATGTGGAACAAATAAAAAAATATATAAATAAAAAGAGCTAAAATCGTAGTAAAAAATAAACAGGAGTATTATTTCTATCACAAACAGTGAAAACATCAGCTACAGTTCTGCAATGTTCTCTGAAGGATGTGCAAAAAAAAATAACTAATGTATGCTTGTGCAATGCACCAAAATTATATCTTTCTGCAGGTTTCTGCTTTACCCTTCATCCACCTATTTCTTGGTCTTATCCTCTTCCCTTCCTCCATGATGTTCTGCTGTAAAAACTCTCATATACCCTATAGGATTAAAATGTGAGTGATTGCATCACTCAGGGGTAACAAATCTCAGAGGTATTACAGCTCAGAGGTAACACACCTCAGAGGTAACACAGCTCAGAGGTAACACAGGTCAGAGGTAACACAGCTCAGAGGTAACACAGCTCAGAGGTAACACAGTCAAAGGTAACACAGCCCAGAGGTAACACAGATCAGAGGTAACACAGTCAAAGGTAACACAGCTCAGAGGTAACACAGCCCAGAGGTAACACAGCTCAGAGGTAACACAGTCAAAGGTAACACAGCTCAGAGGTAACACAGGTCAGAGGTAACACAGCTCAGAGGTAACACAGTCAAAGGTAACACAGCTCAGAGGTAACACAGCTCAGAGGTAACACAGTCAAAGGTAACACAGCTCAGAGGTAACACAGCTCAGAGGTAACACAGCTCAGAGGTAACACAGCTCAGAGGTAACACAGTCAAAGGTAACACAGCTCAGAGGTAACACAGGTCAGAGGTAACACAGGTCAGAGGTAACACAGCTCAGAGGTAACACACCCCAGAGGTAACACAGCTCAGAGGTAACACAGTCAAAGGTAACACAGTCAAAGGTAACACAGTCAAAGGTAACACAGTCAAAGGTAACACAGCTCAAAGGTAACACACCTCAGAGGTAACACAGCTCAGAGGTAACACAGCTCAGAGGTAACACAGCCCAGAGGTAACACAGCTCAGAGGTAACACAGTCAAAGGTAACACAGCTCAGAGGTAACACAGCCCAGAGGTAACACAGGTCAGAGGTAACACAGCTCAGAGGTAACACAGCCCAGAGGTAACACAGCTCAGAGGTAACACAGTCAAAGGTAACACAGTCAAAGGTAACACAGCTCAAAGTTAACACAGCTCAAAGGTAACACCTCAGAGGTAACACAGCTCAGAGGTAACACAGCCCAGAGTTAACACAGCTCAGGGGTAACACAGCTCAGGGGTAACACAGCCCAGAGGTAACACAGCCCAGAGGTAACACAACTCAGAGGTAACACAGTCAAAGGTAACACAGCTCAAAGGTAACACAGTCAAAGGTAACACAGCTCAAAGGTAACACAGTCAAAGGTAACACAGCTCAGAGGTAACACAGTCAAAGGTAACACAGCTCAAAGGTAACACAGCTCAAAGGTAACACCTCAGAGGTAACACAGCCCAGAGTTAACACACCTCAGAGGTAACACAGCTCAGGGGTAACACAGCCCAGAGGTAACACAGCCCAGAGGTAACACAGCTCAGAGGTAACACACCTCAGAGGTAACACACCTCAGAGGTAACACACCTCAGAGGTAACACAGCTCAGAGGTAACAATGATGTTTAGTGTATGGACAATGCCAACAGTGACATACCTTGGTGCTTGTGAGGACATATACCCGCTCTTCAGTGTTGGAGTTGATGATGTCTAGAACTGGCTCTGATACATCGAGGTTAATTTGTGTGACCTTGGTGGCTTGGTTGGGCCCAATCAATATCTGTGCCAAAAAAATGTACAGGTCCCAATATGATTACTGCAAATTATATAGACAGACCTAACGAACGGACGCACGAACAAATGATTTTTAAAGGGTCACAAACAGAGCATGCAGGCTCTCTTACATATGGCTTTTCCAAACACTTATCTTTCAAAGTGCAACTGTATGTTATCTTCAAAGCATGTTATGTTTATTTGACAATGACATGCCCACAAAAAATAATTTAATTTTGCTTGGTTAATGCCTCTAATAAACATACAAACCAAACACTGACATACACATAGATACAAGCATACAAAAATACAAATACACACGCTATCACACATACAAACATACACAGACATAAGTATGTACTTATGTACATATGTAGATACATACATGAGTATGTACATAGTTTGTTTCTTATGTATGAATGTATGTATTTTATTGAATGTGTGAGTGTGCTGTATGTATGAATGTGTGTATGCATATGTACACATGTATGTACTTATACATATATACATACATACATAAGTACATTAATACATATGTGTATACATACAGGCTTAGATACATACGTACAAATTTACAATGACAACACATTCATAAATACATATACCAACATTCATACATTTGCATAAATAGACCCATATATACAAACTCATAGATACACATATACAGACTATCATACATACATACACCTACACTCATATTTACACATATTCATGCAGGCATATCCACATACATACAAACACATACCCCTTACACTCACTTGGCGAGAAGTTTTTTTCTTATTTTTTCCCCTCAAATTTTTTATTTTTTCCCCAATCTTTTTCTTCTCACATAATGATGGCGGACCATGAACCATACATGATGGTGGACAATAAAACCATACATGGTGGTGGACCATGAACCATACATGATGGTGGACCATAAAACCATACATGGTGGTGGACCATAAAACCATACATAGTGGTGGACCATAAAACCATACATGGTGGTGGACCATAAAACCATACATGGTGGTGGACCATGAAACCATACATGGTGGTGGACCATGAAACCATAAATGGTGGTGGACCATGAAACCATACATGGTGGTGGACCATAAAACCATACATGGTGGTGGACCATAAAACCATAAATGGTGGTGGACCATAAAACCATAAATGGTGGTGGACCATAAAACCATAAATGGTGGTGGACCATAAAACCATACATGGTGGTGGACCATAAAACCATACATGGTGGTGGACCATAAAACCATACATGGTGGTGGACCATAAAACCATACATGGTGACAGACCATAAAACCATAAATGGTGACAGACCATAAAACCATACATGGTGACAGACCATAAAACCATACATGGTGACAGACCATAAAACCATACATGGTGACAGACCATAAAACCATACATGGTGACAGACCATAAAACCATACATGGTGACAGACCATAAAACCATACATGGTGACAGACCATAAAACCATACATGGTGGTGGACCATAAAACCATACATGGTGGTGGACTATAAAACCATACATGGTGGTGGACCATAAAACCATAAATGGTGGTGGACCATAAAACTATACATGGTGGTGGACCATAAAACCATACATAGTGGTGGACCATGAACCATACATGGTGGTTCACCATAAAACCATACATGGTGGTGGACCATAAAACCATACATGGTGACAGACCATAAAACCATACATGGTGACAGACCATAAAACCATACATGGTGACAGACCATAAAACCATACATGGTGGCGGACCATAAAACCATACATGGTGACAGACCATAAAACCATACATGGTGACAGACCATAAAACCATACATGGTGGTGGACCATAAAACCATACATGGTGGTGGACCATAAAACCATACATGGTGACAGACCATAAAACCATACATGTTGGTGGACCATGAACCATACATGTTGGTGGACCATGAACCATACATGTTGGTGGACCATGAACCATACATGTTGGTGGACCATGAACCATACATTTTGGTGGACCATGAACCATACATGGTGGTGGACCATAAAACCATACATGGTGACAGACCATAAAACCATACATGTTGGTGGACCATGAACCATACATGTTGGTGGACCATGAACCATACATGGTGGTAGACTATAAAACCATACATGGTGACAGACCATAAAACCATACATGGTGGTGGACCATGAACCATACATGGTGGTGGACCATAAAACCATACATGGTGGTGGACCATAAAACCATACATGGTGACAGACCATAAAACCATACATGGTGGTGGACCATGAACCATACATGGTGGTGGACCATGAACCATACATGGTGGTGGACCATGAACCATACATGGTGGTAGACTATAAAACCATACATAGTAGTGGACCATAAAACCATACATGTTGGTGGACCATGAACCATACATGGTGGTAGACTATAAAACCATACATGGTGACAGACCATAAAACCATACATGGTGACAGACCATAAAACCATACATGGTGGTGGACCATAAAACCATACATGTTGGTGGACCATGAACCATACATGGTGGTGGACCATGAACCATACATGGTGGTGGACCATGAACCATACATGGTGGTAGACTATAAAACCATACATGGTGGTGGACCATGAACCATACATGGTGGTAGACTATAAAACCATACATGGTGGTGGACCATGAACCATACATGGTGGTGGACCATGAACCATACATGGTGGTGGACCATGAACCATACATGGTGGTAGACTATAAAACCATACATGGTGGTGGACCATGAACCATACATGGTGGTGGACCATGAACCATACATGGTGGTGGACCATGAACCATACATGGTGGTAGACTATAAAACCATACATGGTGGTGGACCATGAACCATACATGGTGGTGGACCATGAACCATACATTTTGGTGGACCATAAAACCATACATGTGGTGGACCGAACCATACATGAAGAACCCAGATTGTTTACAACGGATGTGCACTTTTCTTTCTCTTCTTCACATTCCCTAGCTGTAAACTCCAGAGAAAAGTTCTGCGTGTTCGTACACCTGAAGTCTTTAGTCTTGTTCCAGAACCTGAGTGTTGTGTGCACATCCATTTTACACATCTGGCTTATTTGTGTACAGACCCTTAGTTCTTTGCCTGTACTCAAACTATAAAGGATGCATCCAATTAGTTTATTCATACAACATGCTTGTTGCGAAAGCAGTGGGTCCATTGTTTTCCCCACAATTGGGCCTTAGAACCCACATGGGGAGCTGTGCACCATGCTTTCCATGTCTATTTAGTCTTGGGTACCAAATGGGGTCTTGCGAAGTAAAGGTGGCCACGGTCATGTTTACCACACTACACAGAGAGTGCCGACTATTCTTTAAACTATAGGTCCAGCCTTTAAATGCTCAATATGCCTAAAGGGGTGGAAAAGGGTCCTTTTCTTTTTAGGAAATAATAATGTTCTGATCTAGGCAAACTCAAAGATGCTCTGCTCCATCAACACATGTCACAGGGTCTTCAGGAGCGAAGGTACCTACCTTGAAGAAATCACCAGCAGCAGAACCAGCATGCACTATGTCCTGGCCAGCTTCCTGTACGGCTCGTATAGATGTGACCCTGACATCTGGAATGTACAGCAAAGACCTGGCCTCTATTCCTTTCTGGCCCTCCAAGGCTGGGTATGCTTGCGATAGAGGTGTGTTTGCACACAGATCCAGGGGTTGACTCTGTAAAATAAACATTAGCGAAAATATGTTAAAACAGTTATGCATTTTTTTTAAATAACGAATCTAGTTGGTTCAGTTACATTAAGACATAACACACATAACATAACCCTTGACCCGTTAGGGTCATGTAAGTATACTGATGGAAGCATAAGCACATAAAACCAACCATCTTTCTCTGTCATCTGCTTGATGAATAAGTATGTGATAATTCAGTCCTGTCGTTTTCTTGATGTTGTCATTCCAGTTTCTTCTTTAACTAACCCCTAATATTCCTTGAAGCAGTCTTTTCAATCGAACCATCTCACCACGTGCCTGAACCAAGCTAGCTTGCAACATTTCACCAGTCAAGAAAGGGTTTGTTAAGAACGGATGGCAGCTCTTGAGACATTCTCTTAAGCACTCCATCCCAAACTTTCAACAGCCAGTTGAATACTTCCAATACCGATGGTGCCAGTAGCAATCTGATTAATGTATGTCTGGCCTTTTCTCCAAAAGCTAGAACCCACAGTCAACAGTTAAGACCATGTTTTGCATTGTTCACTTGCTCCAAAAGGGATTTAACCACACCCAGCTTGTCATCACCTAGGCCAGAATCAGCATCTGTCTGCTTGTTCCCAGCACACTATACATAGTACTCTTGTCTGGCATCACTTCTTTGACTTGCCATTCTTAGGATGTTGTCAAAGTTGCAGATTCAACTCTTCATTTGCAAGAAAAGAGATAAGTTTAAACTATCTTTAACATCTGCAATAAACAGTAACCTTTATAATACCCATCATGATGAAGAGAAATGAATTACTGACAGCCAGGGACAAATTCTTCACCTGTGCACTCTCCTTTATCAGAAACAATAAATCAACATCTAGTAACCCCGGGAAACAGAAATAAAAACTGCTATCTTTATAAAATTTCAATGTTTTTATTAATTTTTTTAAGCTGCTGATTTCTACCAATATTTTTTTTTTATATATATATAGAGGGCAAATTACAAAAACAAAATTTTAATTGCAGAAATGCACAAACTAGCCATGTTAGGTTTTACCTTAATGTAAACATGTCAGGCTGCAGATACAGCCCCCCCCCCCCCCCACCCCCACACTGTTATACATTTTTACCCTTAATAATTTATTTATAATGCAGATGTGCAGATTCTCATCCAATATTTTACCTGACAGAATTGATTTTTTACCTTGACAATTCATATGGTTTGATTAGATTCACTCTGACAAAACACTACTAAATACAAGGAGGCTTCGAGTGTAAACTTTAAAGTCTGATAGAAA